ATCACTAGTTCGGGTGTCGACGCAACCCAATCCTGAAGTAACATTTTGCATTTCGAGGGAGAGAATCGCATGCCGAACAGGCTTGCATTGTTGCTTAGAGTGGTCAACAGACTCTGCATTTTGTCAGTGTCTTCACTAAATAGAACTATGTCATCGGCATATTCTAAGTCAACAAGTGGATCTCCCGGTAGAAGTTCAACTCCTGGAAATTTAGATGAGGAAAGTGTCATCTCTAAAAGGACGTCAACGACAAAGTTAAACAAGAATGGAGAGAGTGGACAGCCCTGACGAACACCACTTGAGGTAATCAATTCTGATGACAGTTCACCATAAGCTCTCACTCGACCAGTTGTGTTCGAGTAGAGAGCCTTTATAAGGTTGACGTACTTCTTTGGTACTCCCTTCAGTGACAAACATTGCCATAGAACCTCATGATTAACAGAGTCGAATGCCGCCTTAAGGTCGAGAAATACTACCATTGTGGGACGTCTGAATGTGTGTCTATGTTCTAGGACCTGACGTAATGTGAATATCTGATCAATACAACCACGTCCAGGTCGAAAACCAGCCTGGTTTTCTCTAGTCTGCTCTTCACGAGCTTTGGTTAGACGTCGAAGTATTATTGAAGCTAATATTTTAGACACTATATTAGTCAAACTAATTCCTCTGTGATTGTCACAGGAGGACTTTTGTCCTTTCTTATAGACTGGTACAATCAGTGATTGAGACCAGTCAGATGGGATTACGTCCAGTTCCCAGATTCTACCTAAGACCTCAATCAATCTCGCTGCTAATACTGGACCACCATCCTTAAAAATCTCAGGGGTAAACCTGTCAGGGCCTGCTGCTCTCCCACGCTTCAGATTTCCTATAGCTTTTTCAACTTCGTAAAGAGTCGGAGGACTTACATCAACTTGCCATTCAGGTCGACTGGGGATCGTGGGAAACCGAAGTGTGGCTGAAGGTCAGTTGAACTGATCCCTAAAGTATTCTGCCCATCGATCCAATCTCCTGGATTGAGAATGAATAATATGTCCATCTTTCTCTGCGATTGTTTCGCTAACAGTTGGGTTCCTAATACCGGTTTCCTTAACAAGTCTGAACAGTTGCCTGCTGTTACCTATTGCCACTGCCTTTTCCATCTCTCTTGCTTTCGCTACCCACCACTGTTCACGATCTTTGCGTAGGCTTCTAGTCAGCTTACGCTTAAGCTGACTCCGCTCTTCGTTATGTTCAGAGCCAGATGGAATGAGTTTTCGAGCATCTATCAGTGCGGTAGATGCTGCTGAGATCCAGTGTTTTATAGCAACTCACGTTCAGTTGAGTTTGCCCTCATCTAATTCGTTTAAGCCCTTTTGTTAACCTAGTAAACGGACAAGGTTATCTGTACTTTAACAACTTATTCTATCTTTTTTATTGTTATGCTTGTATGAATAAGCATGCTTGAACACTGTTGACTGCCCACGCATATATTCATCCCACTGACCTTATTATTATTCGCTCAATCGATTCGATAGTCCATTCACTTTTCTATATATATATACATGTATATTTAACACTCTACACATTTTCCACACATTCTCACACAATCACGGTTTGCTGACTCATTCGCCTCTCTGCTCTGTGGTTTGAGTTGCCTGCTAATAAAACTGTAGTAGCTGCTTCTCTTTGCCTTCTGATTTCAACTACCGTTGGGGTTTATACGATAACGGTTACGAGGGTGATTGGTCAACGAAGCACAGCCACTACAGAATTGGCGATCCCGACGAGCGAACACGAAACAACTTTCGACGATATAATCAAATTCCCAAAATTCAACGCACTTCATCTCAACTTGGATTATCATATGGACTATAATTTTAACTGTGGATTTATTATATTACTATTTTAATTACACGTACATTATTTCACAAACATTATTGAATTAACGATAATAATCATATTAAATAACGATTATTGACAAACAATTGATATATTGGTGCAGTTTAGTAAGTCTGTTCTATGTTATAAATTGTACCATTTGTTATTATCATTGTTTTTGATCCGTCCATTTTTCTTTATGACAGTTACATTATATTCGTGTGCTACTTAATATTTTTTATAAACATGTCTTCCGAAAACACTGTATCAAGTTTACAGCAAACCCAGTCCGTGAGGTCTCTTAATCTTCCTGCCCCCTCTTTTAATGTCACCGACCCAAAACTTTGGTTCATTAGACTTGAAAATTATTTTTTGGCTAACCGCATTCACTTACAAAGAGATAAATTCGGTCTCACAAGCACACTTCTTCCAGACGAAGTAGCAGATAGCGTACGAGAGGCGTTAGCGAAACCAGCTAAGGGAGCCTGTTGTCCTATTTGGCACAGTGTTCGGACGTTGAAAGCTCCTACGTGTAGTTTGGAGCGTGGTTTCAGGAGACCAGGAATAACATTCCGCGTACTCGAATCGTTCGCACTAGCGGGGCGAGGTGATAAATAGACGTGAGAAGGGTTAGTCGTGGAGATAAGAGAGTTATTAGGAGGTGTAGGAAGGATTTGAATGTGACCAACTTGGTCTCGTGTGCTGTTACGGGTATGAGGGCTGATATCACTTCCCGGTTGCCCACACCGTGAAAGGGTATTTCTTGAGGGACCTGAAAAGGAAATCGGATTAGTGTTGGTCTTAGCGACCTGAGTGCGTGACCGCAGAGCCCAAGGGACAACTGCTTGAGGCCGGTCGCGCACGGCCTTTTTGTGGGAGGTTTTTAATGTGTTAGCTCCGTTCTTCAAAGGGCCTTACCGCCGGAGACGGAAATCCGTGGGGTAAGGTGAGGTGTGACATTTTTAGGGTCAACCTTTTCTAACCCCTTCCTTCCTTGTGAGAAGGCAGCATCGCTGCAGATGCTGGTTGTCCGAGGGAAACACCTTACTGCTGTCACACCTCTGTACAGTCAGCAGTACGACTTCGCCCTCAGACCTTGAGTTGCTGCTTTTAGTCTTACCGTTCTCCAATCGACCTGCCTGGCATGGTAGAACCTGCAGGAACTTGAGTTCCAGCCAATATAGCTCGGTTGGGTCATCACGATAGGCAAGCTTGACCACCACGTCAAGGTAGCAGCTACGGTCGGGAAAAGGGTGAACTAAACACGAATATGAACTATTTACTAGCAGTTGAGGTTGAACGTCTTCAAAAGTGAATAAAATCGAATGAAAGTAAACAGGACTAATCACTTCTTGCTCTGTATAGGATTAAATCTTATTGGTTTGTATGTTAATATGATGGGACGAAATGTCTTCCATTATAAAGCTCTACTATATTGCAACTCATTCCAACACAAAATTAGTGTCGTATGATCGTTTCGAATTCTACTACAATTTTGTACCTAGGCTAAATACTTAAAGAATATTAGCATTTATTTGTTGGAATTTTCGCTTCTTAAACGAATTTTAATTAAACTAGTGTAAACGTTTGATTTATGTTTATTCGATTGATTATGATTTGCTTTATTAAGGTTGCATAGAAAATATAATAGTCCAAAGCCTTGATATTTACGAAAAGTATCGCTCAATATTTAGTTTTTCCAACTATTAATTATACTACTATCATCTCGACTCTTTTGCTATTACTTTGATTAACTTCATTCCATTGTTTTGATGAAATATGACAAGATGGTCTAACTCATGTTTATACTAGACTCTATGTTGATTATGACTGATTTGGTATTAGTTTGATTTACAATTTTGTTATATAAATGTAGGTAAAATCGATGCATCAGTTCAGCACGTTTACATTCCAATAGAAACTGTTCAACTTAGAACTGAATATGATAAGATTTATGAGTAGTTGACTTTAAATTATAACCATAAAAGGTGTTCGCATATTTATCTAACAAAAAATAAGAAAATATATTTCACCATCATTATATATTAGACAATATATTTCAAGCGACCTAATCATACACACGCACATTTTTCATAGGTGTATATGAAAGAGACACAACACAAGGTTAGTGATAATGAAAATCAGTTGTCCATACTTGTGCTAGAAGCTAATTATAAAGATTTAAGGTAACGATATCAAGATATGACAAATTCTAGAACATGCATCGGTTATATATTAACTAGACATGATGGCAATCTAACTATTTAAGTATTTGAGGATGTCATTTTTGAAGGTAGCTTGTGTGACAAATCGATATCAGCCATAAAAAAAATTTAGAAAGCCAGTGAGCATTTGAGTTGTTTCATACTGGTTTAGGATTCCTCAGTAATGAGCATCTAGAGTGGAACAGGAGTATTCGGAGGCGAATCATCCATACGTCGAAAGACTTGAACCTGTTACGAGTAGGACGTATTACATTGCCACAGTTGGAAGACTTCATGCTTCAACACAAACCATAACTTCATATAAACCACGGAATCATATGCCACTTTTAATAACAGTAGACGTGTGTAAATGGCTGTAAAAACAAATGCCTATGGTCCAATGAGAGCGACAAAAATTGACCCTCCACTATGGCTGTAGATAATCCGAAAGCTTAACCGCACTGAAATGAGTATCGTAAGTTACTATTATCCATGTATATGCATTATAAAGCTCCACCTAGTTGGGCTGCTGGAGATGATGCGACTCTATGAATTAATTAGTTATCAGAAATGATTCAGATTAGAAACCTGGAACAATCCTGTTGTAGCTTTCTCTGACATCCTTTATATAAGAAAAAACTTTAGTTGAAAGAAGTCCTTGATTGTATGTTTAACTAAATTGCATCTCGCTGTATACTACTTTTCTCACCTATATCTTAGACTGTACATTTCCATCGTTCTTCACTTCTTCACAATGTTATTTCCGTTTGTGTGGCTCATGCTCTATTTGTTGACCAGTTGCACCAAAAATTATGTGAGTTAAATAAAAAATTTTAAAAATGTATGAGATTTCGGATTGTTGTTTTGACTTATCTGTTTCGTAAAATACTGCACATTTGTGTTTATTAAGAATTTAAAGGCGAATAACATTTGATATTTAGGTATAGTCAAAATAATAACTAATTTATTTTTCTTTAAAAGAAAATTGTGCTTTACATACATGCTAAATAAAATCAGTCTAATCAAATAAACTATCAGTTAAAACAAAGAGGGGTAAACAAACAAAAATACCAGAAAAGAATGAGGTGTTTAGAGAACAGCCACCTCAGAATAGTAGTTATTAACCTGACTTTAAGATATAAAAGCCATTTGAAATTAAATCAAATTTATCAGTAGGAAGAGTATTATTTAGTAATAAAACAACCATCTTCTTTCATGTTTTATTAACGTATATATATACGATAGGTTGATTGCCTTTTGGATGCTATGAGAAATTGATAGCTTTGCCACAAAATGCAGAGAGACAAGATTCACGCAGAGCTTCAGACACCGTCTAATTGAAAAATAAAAACAGTGGAAGTATTAAATGATGATATATTATAACTGCAGAAGTCAAATTAAGAATAATAATTAAAATATTATTGTTACTACTTGTTATGATTTTAGAACATTTGGATCAAAGTATGTATAAATTTAAAAACAGTATGAGCAAAATAAGCAAAAATGGATAGTGGCTAGCAGTGGAATCCAGGACGCACGTTTCGTCCTATTTGGGACTCGTCAGCTGGATGTGCCCGCATCCCAGAGTTAATGTTCACTCCGGGACACGACCCCAGTACCGTTCCCTTCAAACGCCATCGCGTTAGCCACAACAACACCAAGTGGATTTAGTTTGAGCGAAAACCCATTTATAATAATTTGTGTGTTCTTGTTTACCAAACGTATCAAATGAAAAAGAGATTAGAACTTCATGGTCAATTTTATGCACCATCAAAACCATTTATTCAATCTCATTCTCTAAAGTGGAGTCATAATAATAGTTATTCTTTGTTCCACTGAGGTTGAATAGGAGTGCATGCTAATGTCATGATTACATCGTTATTATTTTTTATTTTTACTAGTGCTAATACTAGATCTGATTTTAATTTGACTTTTTGTGTATTTAAGGTAGTTACCGACCATTCAATCATTTTTTCATATATACGACAAAACACATTCTTAACCATTCCATATACACAAACAAGTCTTAATAAATTAATGATTATACTAAAAGCGGGTGGATGATTCGTATCAAAACTATCATCGCCATTATCTTTCGTTAATTATTAAACCCGTACTTTAATCTTAATAACTATAACTGAAATAAATAATTTCGTCAAAAAGAAGATTTTCTTCGGTGAATTCTCTTTTTCATAATCAATGACACTATGGGTTATTTTAATTATCTGAAATAAATATTCTTATTTCCAAGTTTCTTACAATGGTGTTGGATGGAATCAACTTGATTTGGGGATGTGAGATTTCCTTAGAGATGTTAAGATGCCACATATGATTTTCTAAAAATTGATCTCAGTCAAGTAGGGAAATTTAGATTTTGTAGCCGGGCTTCTTGAAATGTTAAAAATTAGTGTTAGGACAACCTTTGTGACACAGCACTAAATAAATAGTATGTATGAACTCATTAACTCAAAGTATTGTCAGAAACGTTACGATATCTGCTGTATACTCAAGACTATTGACTTTTTTCTTACAGGTTCCTAAAATATTCTTTAAATGACTTTTCGTTGACCTTGCTTTACATATACTGTCAAGGTGGAATGAGTCCCGAAACCGTATTTACCACTTATAAAATTGAAGTACGCATGAAAAACCGCAAATTATTTTAAGGTACTAAATAAAAACAAATCCACTACTCATTAATGCATAGAAAACTGTTACTTTCTGGTTGTTAAACTAAAGCGGCTATGCAACAAAAAGATTGAGGAAAAGTAGTACAACAGTAGAAAGACACGGCCAAGTATTCTGATATAAAACTAAAAGTCAAACGAACGGGAATAAACATATTGAGACCTAAACCCTGCTAAACTAGTGAGAATATCAAGGTAGAAGACAGCTCATATACTAATTATTCTAGTGCTAGTTAATGGATATGAATGTAAACGTTAAAGACTAATCAACGACTCCTGATTTTTGTAATGTAGTTTTTCTTAGTTCTGAGTTGCTGACTAGGTTTAACTCCAATTTCTCAGCATGAAAATATTCAAGTTACGCGATTGTGACAAAATCCCGTGAATAGGAAAGTATCCATACATATCATCTCCTAGAAAGACCACATATACCTAAAAAATATTTGTTTCGAACGAAGACATACTACTACTTGTAAACCTCTATGGATAATTAATAGTGAGAAGTAAAAATAATTTAAATATGAAAAATGACTGTACACTTTAAAACATGACTAACCGGATGGGCATGACAGACACGTGCAACATCTTCAGCTGAAGCGCCATACTCCATAGCTAATACTGCTTCGTTGATCAGTTCACCAGCAGATGGACCAAGTAAGTGTACTCCAAGAAGTCTGTCTGTATCTTTGTGGGCTAAAACCTTGAACAGTCCTTCAGTTTCATCATTAGTTTTAGCTCGTGAATTTGCAGACATTGGAAATTTGCCTACTCTATATGACAGGAAAAAACATAAAAATTAAGGAGTATCGCATAAATGAATAAAGTATATAGTGTTATATATATATATATATATATATATATATATATATATATATATATACTTTTAGCGATCTGACTTGTCGCAACCACTTATTGTCCCAATATATCAGAAGGGGTCAAAGTCATCCTGTGATAACCATAAAGGGATTAGTTTGACTAATATAGCATCTAAAATACTAGCATTAATAATTATCGGACGCTTAACTAAGGCTCGTGAACTGCAAACACGAGAAAGTCAGGCTGGCTTCACACCTGGTCGTGGCTGCATCGACCATATATTCACCATTCGTCAGGTTCTAGAACACAGGAATGATTCTCGGCGTCCAACAATGGTAGTCTTTATGGACTTAATAGCAGCATTTGACTCTGTAGACCGAGAGGTTTTATGGCAGTCTCTGTCATTGAATGGTGTACTTCAGAAGTACAAACCTTGTGAAGTCTCTTTACTCAAACACTACTAGTCGAGTCAAAGCTTATGGCGAACTGGCCTCTACTTTTGCAACCTCAAGTGGTGTCAGTCAAAGCTGTCCACTATCTCGATTTTCGTTCAACTGCATCATAGACATACTGATGGAAACAACGTTCTCGTCGACTGAATTTTTAGGAAATGATGTCCTACCAGCAGGTCCACTTATCGACTTAAAATACGCTGATGACATAGTCCTGTTTGGTGAAGACGATGATAAAATGGAGAGTCTTCTGGAAATAAGGAAACTACATAAAAGTAGATGACATACTATCAATAAAATAACTACTAACTTGTATGGAATGTTTTCTGCTTTGCATTGTTCTTCATTTTTACCAACCCAAGCACATTCGGGATGAGTATAGATAACACTAGGGACACAGTTATAATCAATGTGTACAGCACCACCGAGCATTCCTTCGACACAAATTATTCCTTCATCTTCAGCTTTGTGTGCTAACATTGGACCAGGTATACAGTCACCGATAGCATAAATACTAATATTTGAAATAAGATATTTATAAATGTTTTCAGTAAATAAAAAGATTAGAAGTACTAAAGTATCGCACAAAAACATGATTTACATCAAATTATAAGACGGTAAGCAATCCACAACTATTTTCTTCTGAGTTTTATTACGATAAACCGTGTAACAATTATGTAACAAAATCATACGAACGACCATGACTGTACGATCGTTAATATTTGTTAGCCTTTTAAATCAACTACATGAATACTTTGAACTGTAATATATTTTGAACAAATATACAATGACATAAAACGGTACCCATAAACAGTACAATTTATTAGAGTCACCTCTACTAGGACGTGAAAATGTCATATCACAGATAAAATGAAAATATGTTAATAGTGATACAACAACAATGATATCTTTTTTATAAAAAGACCCATTGTGTCATTGTGATGTATCTCAATCACAACAACACAAGTTGATTCCAACATTTTAACTACAGCCATTAACTAAAATAGTAGCTTTTAGGAGATATTACAAATATATTCAATTATTTATAACAATCCACCCAATGTTCAATTTATTCGAAATTATCAAGTCAAACCTTAGTAATGATACCTATTTTAGGAGAATAGTTGTAATAACTAACTGATGCTAACCTGAGGAAACTAGTGAATAATAAAGATCATTAATTAATCACTATTCAGTTATAAGCAGCTTACAGTCTGCTCCAAATAAGTGTTAACTTAAGTTGATAAATCAGTACAGAGAAAGAGACAGAGAGGGGATATGCTGAAAGGATAAAACTAAGTAGTGAAAAACTAATAAGAAGCAATATTGAAACTCATGATTTAGATAACGGCAGTAAATGAAAGCACCTCTCTAGCATAGCTACCGGTTCAGAGACAGGCTGTGTTTAGGCATAAGTCAATATACTTTTTAAAAAGAAATTATGAATTATTCTTAAAACCGAACAAAAAGTTACGACTTATGAACTACTTTTCTGAAATTTAATGGTTGAAAATTATTCAGTCAGTTTGAATTAGTTAACTGGTATTAATTTATCCAATGCATAGCATTTTACACTCCGAAGTTCGTTTGAGATTAATGCATATTTCATATTTTTAAGGTCTCCTGGAATTTTCTTCACATTGGCTAATAAGCTTACTGAGACATTACGACAAATTAAAAAAAGAAATGTTTACTCATTAAATATCTGATTGAGTTAATTTTACACAATCAGATGTTCTATGAGTAACATTGATTTAGGAGGATTGTATCAATCCAAAGTAACTTGTAACCATTGGATTTTCTTTTCCTCCACTAAAAAAACATTACCAGGCATTAAAAAATAACGGCTGTCATGTGTAGGATGAATAAAACTACTATATCTCAATTTGACATTCATATAGATGTATCAATAACTCAAGAGAACCAAAAAACTGCGTATATAACATTTTCAGCCAACCAGTACTTTTAAGGTTTAAGTGGTGTAGATTATTTTCGTGGTTGGTATTATTTTGGTATGGTTCTTTGTTCATAGTTGGGTTGCTAACCTTATCCTCGATTTTCTTCCTTTACCCGGGCTTGGGAGTGGAAGTGACCCTAGAAGGGCCTCATCCTTAACTTGGAATTCTCAAGGTAAAGGGAGAAGAGGCAGGTACATAACTCTGGGAATTGTGCGCAGAAATCACAAGGACGAATAGCATTTGACAACAACTAGAAAGGAGAGTCCATGGAAGAGTGGGTTAGAGATTCCTGGTCGGATGTCTATATCCCAAGAGGTCTAGGTAAGTAAGTAATACTTTCGGAAAATTCCGAAACCTTATATACCCGTTATTTCTTGATTTGATTCAGTAAACATAATAACGATTAATAATTTCATGTTTTTTCTGACTATTTCTAGAACCATAAGATGGCTGGTAACCATATCTACATTCTTAAGTTTATGCACCTCAACTGACCTTGAGGCTGTCGTACTCGTATAATTACCTCTAATCACCCTATGTTTCCGTTTCATAGCTCAATGAGTCTATTTACATACGCTTTAATGGAAGTATCATCTGCAATAGTTTGTCTCTTTGATAAGTTTTAATAATTTAATGACAAGACGAAGTTTATCAGAACTATGAAATATAACAGAGAAACACATTCCGAACAATCTGATCATACATTTATTTGTTCAGGTATTTATAAACGAAAAATAAAGGTGAAGTGGACAAATCGGAAGATAAGCGAAAGACAAAAATGATAAGGAAAACAATATGTCCTTCTCTACATCCCATAATTCTGATTAACTTTGTCTTATTTTGGCATTCTTTTAAAGAAACATCATCTGTAATATTTTAGCGAAGATACATCATTATGCTTTATTCCATGAACATTAATCAACAGAGCGTTATCTGGTTTCGATTATCAATATATCTTATTAATGAGGATTATTTTGTTTACTTGAAACATTTGTCAAACTAATCTGTAATACAGAGTGAAACACAAGACATTTGTTTGAGGTTTAAAGAATTTCAACAGTATATGTAAAAGAAAAAACACTCAAGATATGTGACGCATGATGACATCGCTCAAATAAGTGTAAATTTGAGATTTAACGAAGTGATTTGTTTCTTTATACCAATGTCAGTATTTCGAAACTTGAATCCGTATCAACTGTATTGAATGGTGTAATGGTGATTGTTTTATGTTATTTACCCTCCATCGCGATCCTTCCAATGTGAAAAATCACAATGCGTTGTTGTATGATATTCCCAATTTTGATGGATATGATGAACTAAAAACTGCTTGATCAAAGTCGCTTACCACTAATAAGATATAAACACTTTACGAAAACTAAACGATATTACTTGAATCAAGGTCAATGGTTTTTTCTTATTCATAAGTAATCTATATAACTCTGTAAATTACTTTTATTCTTAGTGAAAATTTAGTACATCAAAAAAAAGATAACAGACATAATTAAAGTCAAATATGGACATAATGGTTTGCAATGATTAACAAACATACTTTGGGACAGATGTTTGAAAGTTTTTATTAACGGGAATTCGACCTTTCTCGTCCAATTTGATTCCAACATTTTCTAAACCAAGGCCACTGGTGTAAGGACGCCTTCCTATACACACTAAGAGAGTGTCACAGTTAATCTAGAATAAGAATGAAGTTTGATTTGAAAATAAACAACAATAAAATAAAAAATTAGTTTTTATACGTATTAGAATATTTTAGAAATTCTGTTTCAACGACAAACAAAATCACTTACACTTTGAGATTTACCATCTTTTACACCTTCTAACTGTACTGTAATGGTGTCACCAGATCTTGACGCTGATAAAACTTTAGTATTTAAAAGGAATTTGAGACCCTGTTTAGTCAAGATTTTCTGGAAGTTCTTGCTGATTTCCATATCGATGCCCATACCGCCAACATGACCAAGGAATTCCACACAAGTGACCTGAAATAAAAAGAAAAACAGATCAAATGAACGAGGTAAAACGCAAATGGACAAACTGTATACATGGCACAGAGTATTTTGAAATGGAATAAGTTTTCATAATGGATGTTTTCCAGCAACCAGAAAACGATAAATCCACGTGCTGAAGGTTAGAATTAACATAAATAGTTGTTTGTAAAATGAACTAGAATATAACTTATTTGTACATAGTAAAGTGGATCGAACATTAGACATGAACAGTTCCTTACGGCATAGTATCGGTGATGGTTAGACAGATTTCGAGATAGGACTGGGTTGTAAACATTAACAGCCCCCAAATGCCCTGGTACGGTTGAGGGTAGGGAGAGTCAACTCTCCCTCTCGAAATGATCTGATATGGCCATGAATCTATTGTTGGTCACCGGCCACCATGGGACTGCATCTTCTATCGTTGCTCCACTGCCTTGAGGATTAGACCTTTAGGTCAAAGGCTCCAGGTGTGGTCCCCTAAGAAAACCACCTGCTTCGGTTTGGGCACTAGGGCCATATTGTAGATTATATACAAATCAAGTGACTTGTGTGGTGCCTCTTTGTACCAATATTTATGTGTTCGAATAAATAAAATATTAACATATCTCTTCAACGGATTCACACACAAGAAGTGGTATGTACTTCCCAAGCCATTTTTCAGTTATTAATGAACACCCTCCTATTTGGTATTCCAGAAATCGCTGCATGCCTGGATGGTATCCTAATTGACTCAGATTCACCAACAGACCTACACAATTACATAAAAAGCATACAGCAACATATCAAAGAAACTAGATTCCGTTACTAACCAGAAAATTACTGAAATACTTTATTTATATCTGCTGCCAACGGTAATCGACCTGGTCCAAATAATAACCGGGCTATTTAGTAAGTGGAAACACCGACAGATATCACATCACTCAGATGCTTTCTAGGACTTATCAGCTACTATTCAGATTTCCTGTCATTATCACATCAAATGTGTCGTGAATTGAACCGCATACTTGGAAAAAAAGCACTGCGGACCCGGACAAAGAAATGTGAATCAGCATTTTTTGGATTGAAGTCTGCAGTGCGTTCCGAAATGTTGCTGAAACAATACGATTCTACGTCGCCCATCATTGTACTGTCCGGTGTTGCAAGTCATGGTGTAGGCGCAGTCATAAAAAGCCGTTATATATGCTGTTCGGACACTTATCCGAAGGGTGCGAGGATACTGCTAAGGAAAAAAAGGGAAGCTTAAACTTGACGTTTGTCGTCCATCGCTTGCACAAGCTGGTGTAGGGAAAAATATTTACTCTTATAACAGATCACAGGTCATTACTGAGTTTACAGCAGCCATCCGGATATATAACATTGAATAAAGCCACTGATAATAATAAGTATAAACCGTTGCCAAGAGTTTTACCTATAGACAGATCATGGATCATCAGATTACGGATTTTGTAAATGGCTAAGTTAAATATTAACAAGAAACGCCGATCAACAATCCACACAGACTTTGCAGGACCAGTCAATGAACCACATATTTTGGTTCTCGTTGATGCATACTCAAAATAGTCAAAGGTTCTTCCGTTGGTCTCATCAACAACGAAAACCTTTCATATACTGACGGAGATTTTTCTTTGCAACGGAGTACCAGATACTATAGTGTCATATAATGGATCTCAATTTACTTCAGGACACATATAAGCTTATCATCATCAGTCAAATGGACAAGCAGAGTAGTTTGTGGACTTTAAAAAGAGTATTACTAAAATCACAGGGGGACGGAACACTCATCGATATATTGCATGATTTTTTGTTAGTGTACGGAACTATACCAAACGACACCAATAAATTACGGGTCACAGATTAGGAATAACTCACAAACTGAGGTTAACAAAAAAGATTAGCCATAAGAAATGTGGTATCAATAAAAGCCTCAGAATTCATCCGATATTAAAGACAAAGGTATGACAAATGGACAAAGGGACGAGTGACACGAAGACTATGTCAAGTAAATCTACGACCTAGAAGATAGTCGACCCGACGACGGTGGCAGACGGTATAATTTTAAGTTAACCCAAGAGAACCACGCTATTGAATGGATAGGATATGCAATCTTAAATTACAAATCATGAGAATCAAATCGATATCAATTAGGTTGAAATCCTGTTACATTAAACAATTCAATGTGAACAGTAATTACGAAATTTCAATACAATTTTACGGTATTTTGTGTCAATGACATATTATGATAATTTTTTATTGGTCTTTTAATTGAACTTCGCCTTTAAATATGGTTTTTTTTTACTCTAGTTAGCGGATTAAGGAAAAGAGGAGAATAGAATAGTTTCTCTCAGTGTCAAAATTATTAGCACAGTGCATGAACATATCATGCACTTTTAAACGAAATTCTACTCAGATGTCTGTCCGTCTTGTACCAATATTCATGTGTTCAAATAAAATAAAATAAAATATCCAACTTTCACAGGTGGCAAGTTAATAAATACCAGTCTAAATTTATGGAATCACTGTAAGGTTTGTTCTGTCACTTAGAATAATTCAACATCACAAATACTCAGTGATTATTATTCTCAATCATATGTTGAACTAGATGCCAATACAGATGACTTCTGAAAGATAACGTTTGAAAAGCATAATTACGTTCAATTCAACATTGCTTTTATGTTTCTTTCGGCTGTGTATCACAATTTTTATACGAAAGTTTGTGACTGTCATTTTGAAATTAATCAACTTGTAATAACAGATTGGTAAAACTGGATATAGAGTAGATTGAACTTTATGTATTCATGTTTTTTTATGTGTAACACACAAAGGGTTATCCATGGAGAATATTATTTGAATGGCTTACAGATACTACCTTTGTGTGATTAGGATAAATAATGGTGAGTCGAAAGGATCTGTGTTTGGTACACCGAAGATAATTTAAAAAAACTACGTAGTCAACACAGGAGAACTGAGCACAAACGTCGTGTAAATAGCCACATGGTTAGAATTTAAAAAATGCAGAAGTGTCAGATTTTTAACTCACTAAACGGTAAAATTGGTTTGTACTCTTTATTCTGGTTGGACAAGTAAACATATAGTTTGAAGTATGAAGATAAGAAAGGACTCGTACAACAGAAGTGATCTAACAAACAATGATGTATATTTGGACCGAGAAGTTATACTTTCTCAGCAATCGAGAATCAGTCGTAAATTAAATTTTAAAAAACGATTAAACCAATATACAACAGTTAATAATGATCCCTAAAAGCTTACTTCAGCACCTAATCGCTTCCATACAGAACCTAATTCGACGCCAATAACTCCAGCCCCGATAACTATGAGATGTTGAGGGACCTTGGTTAACGACAACGCGCCAGTGCTTGATACGACAGACTGTTCATCGATTTCAATCCCAGGGAATGGAGTGACTTCGCTGCCTGTTGCAATAAGAATACGTTCAGTTTCAATCCGTTCTTCACTTCCGTCAGCTTTTTTGACCAAAACTTCGTTGGAGTTAACTATCGAACCAAAACCATTTACACGATCAACCTGATTTCAAATGAGTATTAAGAGTGAGAGTTCTGACGTTTAAAAAATTGTTTGATAGTAGATGGAACAACACATATACTAGTCAAGAAGAATAAAAAGAACGATAAAATATTCGACTACTTAATACACTAACTTATGACAGAACTTATTAAATAACACTGGAAATCGCGAATGGTTATTCATTTAGAAAGGATCTACAGATTTAACGAGGAACAAATAAAAAGTTGATGCTACCACTAATATTCACAACGACATGATACGAATACTCCTAATTAATAATATTGACGATTTCGTGTCCAAAACAAGTTAATATTATATACGGAAGCAACCATTTCCATATCTTTACATTGAGAACTAAGGTTGCAATGATGACTGACAAGACCAAGCAGTATTCAACAGTAAAAGTCGTACATAAAACGTGTTAGTATCATTTAAAATCAGATACCTGAGTCTCTACCACATTTTGACAGATCAAAAGTAACTCTTTACTAATCAATTTGTTGCTCTGATGGAATGGAATGTAAATAAACTTTTTAAGCCCACTGTGCGTGAGAAAAGTAAAATTTCACTAGTTCAACTGAAACGTCAAATTCTTTTAGTTGTAGCACTCACACGAAAATCTTATATAGATTATTCTTTAGCTTTATGCTTTGGCAGAAATATTCCAGTTGAGTGCAGACTAGGCAAAGACGTGCAATCATACGGACTGAGTCGAGTTCGAACAACAAGCTTCCCACTTAAATATTTTAAGTTACCCAAAATTGAACTGTATTGCCCTATAACCAGAAACAATAATTATTGTGATACTAGTTTTAAAACTCTTGAACGTTGATTTAAAGCACGGAAAATGGATATAACTACATGGAATTATTATAAAATCCAGATCACTCATTCCTGTGAAATGGAAAATATTTGTGTGATATTCACAAAAAAAGGCATGTCTGACAAGGTTGTAGCTCATTGTCATACATACTCTATTATACAGGCGTAGGGGCGAGACTATAACTTTGACGTTCCAATCAGGTATAAGATAAGAGGTCTCGGATTTTGGCGCGAAATTCACTAATTTGTTTGGCTAAATAAAGTTCTGGTATTATAGCTGATATCACCTCGTGATGGAAACTCGAAATATTATTTTCAACCTTAACCATCAACTGTGAATCATAATTTTTATTCCCCACACCGGTTTAATCCTTAGTTGGTTCTAGTTACTAGATAGACATATCAAAGTCATCTCAGCGTCACTCAAAGGTCGTCCGTAAGTTATGGTCTCACCGATGTAGGTTGTGACACCAAATCTAGTGCGGTTTGAACTAGATTTTATCCTTCTGTTTGTTTCTAGAACACATGGAAACCTAACGTCAACTAACTCGAACTATATCTTCAGAATTAAAAACAGGGTCTGACAAAAAACATGCTGTAAAATCTCTATGTTAGAATGAGTATGTTGTCTAAATTTCACGTGAAAACATACCTTGTTTTGCTTAAATAGGTATGCTATACCACCAGTTAAACTTGAAACAGCTTTTTCTTTAGCTTTCAACATAGCAGGTAGGTTAAGCTTGAAACTTTCAATATCAATTCCACGGTGTTGCATCTCTGAGGAATTGACGAGTTGATATATATGAGAATTATTCAACAACGATTTGCTGGGAATACAACCAACATTTAAGCAAGTACCGCCCAAAGTGTCGTTCTTTTCTACACACACAGTCTGTGGAAAATATAACTCAGGTCATGTCACTCTCGGTTTACAAACAAACCTTCAAACCCAATTGTGCAGCTTTAATGGAGGCAACATAGCCACCCGGACCCGATCCAATGACAACAACATCAGCCTTAAGGCGATGAGCTACAAACAAATGTTTAATGATTATCCGTATGTGCTACCAGAAACTGACATTCCTCTCGAAACGGATCTCATAGTTGACCCCATTTGATGGATCTAAAGAAGCAATTATTTTTTAACAATAAAAACATACACTAAGTAGTCTGACCATTTTTGCAGAGCAACCTCCAACCCGCTCGTAACGGACTCACTAGATTTGGCGCCACAACCCATGCATCCTCATTTCAATATCCAATATATTCAATCTCTGTATGACTGGCTTATATAAACCGGTTGATTTCTCTGAGATTACACCTTGTTAGTTCTGTGCAAATTCAGATCTTTTCAATGTTTCGTGAGTGGTAAGCCAGTCACTCGATTGAACTAATTCTTGTCGGTTTTGCTTGTATATCTTGTAAACGGAGGTTTCAGGGTATCAACATTTATCACATTGCCTTGCAGAAGGCGAAAATTTTTTTAAGAACTATATATATATAAGTAAATATATGTAACAATTATGACAGTAAGTTACGAGACATGAGTCAGACACTGCTAGTCAAAGTGTGAGATCGTAATAAACCAGTTAGTACATCTTTGTCAAGTCTTCTTTTGGAGCCGTCGACTGGAAATTCTGCGGTCACTTCTGCCGGAAGTTCATTTCAAATAAGGAGCATACTCAAGATTTTGCTCTCTGACGAACGATTTCTTGGTATTGCCTCGAGGGGATTCATGTTGGAGAAGCTTACGGTACGTTATTTGTTGAAGATCGTGTTCAGATAATCACCAATTTTCTACTGTTCAGTTACAAAAATCCCATTTATTTGACTTTATTTTCGTAGGTTTTGTTTATTTGCCTTATAACCCACTAATTTGCTCGTTTCTGCACTTGGTCTAAGATACATACGTCCCTTTTGGAGAGAGTAGTAGGAACTATTTTGTGAACTTTAAGGAGAGGGCGTAAGTAAGTTTTGAACAATACTAAAAACAACTCAGGGTAAATGTATTATGTTTTATTTACATAAAGTAAAGAGCTGTGTTTCTCTTGACTGCATCTTCAATTTATAATCAACTGGTGTCCAAACTCTCAGTATTTATTATACCTAGGTTGTTCTCTGAGAAGACAGTCGAGAGCGGGTTTTCACATGGAATTTAAGTTGTTTGTGCCTAATGGGTCCGAATGTTCATGGTCAGATATTTCGGCGAGTTAAATTTAATCAATTGTCTACTACCCACTTCTCCATTATTGTGAAACATTTCAAAGCTCAGGTAAATTATTTTAGCTGTCAAGAGAGCTTAATATATTCGCGAATTACAATTAATTAAACAAAAAATCGTTCTAATAATAAATATAACATTTACAAAGCAAACCTTATTTTTTTAGGCTTCCGTAGCAAAGACTTTCAAATATCAAAATTTATGAAGTCAGAGATGTAGACAAACAGGTTCGAAAGTTCAGTGATACAAACACATGCAAGAAGGGTGAAATTTTTATTCAACATAACGGTTTTCAATCGGTCAAATGTCTACTGTAAGATGTCTGTTTATTGCTTGTCTTATTCATTGTCTATTTAAATTACACTGAAACCGATTTCAGGTATCGCACTTTGATTTGATGTTTTATACATTCATTTTAAATTCACAGTTTGTCTGTGAATTTTAATGTATTGGATGTATGTCTGGCCTCTTAATGCCACAGTTGTGCAAATAAGATCAGTCATATTACTATATATGTTAGGCGGGATCTGTATTTTACTGGAGATAAAACATGGGCTACAGACTCGGTTGGCTTATCCTCTTTGGAATAAGTCTACGCGGAGAGCAGTTGTAACTAGATGACACTGAGTCACAATTGTTGACGAATGATTACGATAGCTCTTAATCAAGTAAAAACCACCTAGTTCTCGGTCTGTGTTACAGTTTTTACATTACTTTAATTCACCGCTTCCGTAAGCAAAGAAAAATGAATTATCAGTAATCTGAAAGTCATCACGAAGATTCACTTTTTGACTTAGAATATGCCGATAGCATAGTTTTATTTGGTGAAGATGCTGACAAAATGCAGTCTTCAGACGACTCTATGCAACGATGCAAGCGTGTTCAGCATGCACTTCTCTCCTTCGAAATGCAAAATGTTTCTTCAGGATTGGGTTGCATCGAAACCCGCTTCACTTATCAGCCCTTGTGGTCTGTTGTGTGACGAAATTTCAGCACGGATAAAGAAGGCTCGACTAGCTTTTTCCAACTTGCGTCATTTATGGCTAGGGCGAGGCATCCGTCTATCAACCAAAGGACGTGTTTACTGCGCAGCGGTTCATTCCATCCTACTTAATGGCAGTGAAACATGGCCGATAACAGTAGAGGATATTTGTAAGCTACTAGTATATCCTGGAACCATCGAGTGAGTAACTCAGTTGTTAGGAAACTGGTACTAGGTAAGGATGGCAAACCAATTGACGAAGTGGTAAAACTTCATCAGTTGAGATGGCTGGGACATGTGCTGCGCATGCCCGACCACCGACTGCCCCGACGTGCTATGTTTTATGGTGTAGGAGTAAGTTGAAATCTAGGGGCGGTCTAAACAAAACACGGCATAAATCCATGAAGTCACTGACAAGTGAACAGAGCCATGTTGGTAAGTGTATACTACCTGGTTGGGGACCGTGAGATGATAGCAACCGATGGTTAGAGACCTTGAATGACATGGCTCAAAATCGTTTGCAATGGCGCAGGTGCATCCACTCTTTATGTTCTCCCAAATTCGAATCTTCTGAATTCTCCATGTCCCTTTTTTCCTCTTTTCAAATTTCTTTCACTGTATTATACATCTTGAATAACATCTTCAAATCCTGATCATTCCGATTACTGCCTACACTCCTACTACCTCTACCACTACAAAATTTGAATCGACAATTGCATCTCTGTGCTGATTTGCTGTGGCAACTCGAACTGATATACGTACGTACGAAGTTTTACGTTGCTACTGACTGACTGACATCACGAAGTTATCTTGAGTACTTATATTTGCTTAAAGGAATGATTACTGTCTCTTCACTGTCGTTTTGTAAGAAAGATTACAAGAACATTACATTGTCCAAATGTGCATAAGTATCTATCGATTACCATATGATTTCTTCGCACACAAATCTCGGTGTTATGAGACTTGTTTGAATCCTCTGTGACTTTCAATAAAGGCAGTTCATCAATTCAACTTCATTATTCCTGCTGATACCGAGAATTTTATGAAACCCAGAATTCATTGAGTTGAAATTGATGGTTTCATCTCAGAGAAATGCTCTCACTGTTACTCAGGGTCACGGGCGTTTTTCAGTGTATAACTGTTCACCTCTGACAGTCTACTTGAAAAAGTTTTGGAATGCTTGAAGATAGACATCTGATTACACTTTGTTAAGAATATATATATGAATTATCATGTATCTGACTCTTGCCTATTAACTATTCCTTTTGTTGTCTGGTACGTTAGTTTGTGCTAGAGAAAGCTGTGAATATATAACACAGGCTATACTGTATGCGGTATTTTGTGCGTTTGATATAATTTATTCTTTTCTAAATTAGAATCGTTTAAATTGAAGCAGGGTTTTTGCTTTGATATAATTTAATATGATTCACTCAAAAACGCTTCTTATATTATACAGATGGACGCAGTCTGGCACAATCGAATAAACTTTGGTTCATTAGTTCTACGTCTAACCCGAATACTGATATTTCGGTAGCTGCGATGCCATATATAATTATTTATTTTTGACAGCAAGTTCACGTTACCTTTATGGTACGGTCAATAACTTACAACATGGATTTACGAATGAATTACTCAAGTAAGATTGTTGAAAATGTGAGGTCAATGAAGACATACAGCTGAGCTTTAGAAAACTGATGTCTAGATTGGTACTAATTGCAATTATCTGTGCTACCAGAATACTAGACCTAATTCTAAGACAGTAGATGTACAATACTAAGAACACCTAACATATAAGATCCTCTGTGGAAGTCACACCATCATCTTTATTGACTCATCCTATCGTCACAGTCTGCAATATGCTGTTCAAAGATTTTTGAAGAACTTCTGGGATAGATTTATATATTCAACATGAGATGGAAAAAAGTATATAAAGCGACTACCTCCGCATGTCCAAACCTTGTCATGCCGATTGGGTTTTTCTGAGTTCACTATATCCGACCTTCTTCAAGTGTTAAACGTTTAATATAAATCTTCTCAGTCATCGTATGTTTGGCTTCAAAGATCGTGTGGTTAGGAACTAATACTACTTTGGCATAAAAAACATCGTGCAGTATGAACCAATTCCATGCAAACAGAAAGTAACTTGATGTCATCCTCAAGTTGTTTGTTTGTACATCTAACATAAAACTATGTAAAATCGTTATAATGGTAATAGGCTACTCATCTCGAAAACTTGGAGATACAAACAGATTTTTATAAAACTTATGTGACTTTTAGTTAAGATTAGATACTTCAGGCAATAGTTAAGGGATTGGAATTTTCATTCGCTAACTGGTATCAACTGTAGTGTATATCGCTCAGTTGCCTTATGTTTCGATAACTGTAAACGATTTACTTAAAACTCAACCTCTGAAATTTTAACAACATATTTTTCTTTCTAAATATCCCACACTTAATCGGCGCCCAAATACTGTGGATTTATTCTTTCAAATTTGGACGAAATTTCTTATATGTAAACTGTACAGTAATAATGATTGCAAATAAACCAAAATCGACACAATATATGTGTCAGTACAGTCAAAAAAAGAAAAAACACTATTCACAAAGAACGAACATAGTATTAGTGATTTAAATAAATACACATGAAATGATTTCTCAAAATCGATTCCCAATATAATAGTTTTTACTTGATGATGCCAAAAGCTAACTTTACGCGACTATTTTGCGTGTTTTAGGCAAAATACAACGGTAATTTTACAATTTGTTACGTACAATATTTTAATTTTACACAGTGACCTAAATTCTACGTTTTCGATTATGGTTGTCGAATCCCTTATGAATACTTTTCCCCGGCTGCACCAATTATTATTAACACACGTACCTTATGGCCGCTATAATAGGTAGCGATAAAGTTCAGTTTGAATGTGACAACGTTAAGTGATAAGTATAAATAACTGAAGCGAATTGCCTTATGAAATCTATTTCAGAACTGATGCTGCAAAGGTGGACACTGGCCCTTCTTTTGAATTATAGTCCAGAAGGTTTCATCACTGACAATTAGGACAAACTGTGGTCAAATATATTGTGTTCTACTTTATATAGATGTCCTCTTAATTGCAGTTTATTATTAAGGCATAATAATGATTTATTGGTACGATCACATTACTTCTAATCTAAACCATTGTTTAAAATCTCCAAAAATACGTGAGTATCGCAAACTTACAGAATTTTTAAACAGTGGTCACCTTGTTAATTATTATTTTTAGAGCAGGAACCTGGCGTAAATTGGACGTCGAAGAATAAAGGCGCGCTCTTCGGTTTTCAAGGTAAAGTTTGAAAAATTATCTTCTTAGTCTATAGTTTAGTACATAGCAATAGACATATGTTTCAGACTCATCAGTTGACATATACAAATGTTGAGCATAGATCTGTAGCAGATTCAGATAATTCACATGTAGGAATTCTTGTAGTGAAGCCATTGCACATCTTTAACGTTCTTTCGATGTTGGTTAAATAGGATTTTTTATAGATTTTTACGGCATGTATTGCTCAGAAACCTGACGAGGTTAGGTGGGTGACCGTATTTTATACTATAGGTATCTAACAGCACTGTCTTTCATATGTTCGTGTCATATTCCCGTCAGAATTTCCAAACGCTATCGCAAACGTTATGGCAATTGCTCAAACGTTTCGTGGCCAACATATTTTTAAGTCTACCGGCTCCTAAAAACCTCGCTTTTTATAATCTTATTGTGGCCTCTTAACTACCTAAAATTACTTTACTGGCGGCTTTTTGCATTGAAGATGATGGTTGCATGACATTTGAAAACTTTCAGAACAAAACAATTGCCAATAAAGATATCTCATGTCATAGGGTGCACTACCTATATTCTCCAAAGCTTTCTGCAATTTTTAGCTTTTGATTTATCATCCTACAAATATAATGGATGTTCTAATTAAACTATATTAAAGCTTCAGATAATCGAGTAAGGAATTATCAAACATTTTATCATAGTTCTCTTGTTATTTAATCCGTTATTCAGTATAGTCAAACGTTAAATACATACTTCCTAATGTGCTTTCGTATATAAAGATTTTTTAGACAACTTGATGTTCGTAGTTCTTCTTTTATCCTGTCTGCAAAATTCATTAGCTGTAGTAATTACTTCTGGTTTTATAATAACAGTACTAGCCTATACATAACGGACTCAGGAAGAAACATGGAAATGTTGATTTGCATAAGCTCTTAATCATTTTCCTACAAAAATTTGTTTGTTATAAATAAATAGATTAGTCTCTAACATCTCACGTTCTTTTGCGTTATCGGCTGAGTGTGTATACACAAAAGCATCACCAGAGCTGCTGAAATGTTAAAATGTTTTTTCTGTAAAATTAGAAAGGCACCTTGAGATAACTAGCCAGGTCAATATACTAGCTTGTATATGTAAGTCAGAAATAGTTCACATAGATTGACCTCAGTTACCGATTATTCTAGTTTGTAAAGTTTAGGAGTTCTCTTGTAAAATCTACAGGTTATATGCATTCGATCTTATTAATTTTTCAAAAATTGTTGGTGTGATGTAATTATTAAGTGGGTACTTTTTAAACAGTCCTGTGTAAAAGAGACAACTAGGTGTAATTACGAATATGCCTTATTCGGAGTTTGAGGTGTTAGGTCTGTAAATCAATGTTAATCAATGCCCAAAAGCCCTTGACAAAATGGCTCCAAATCTTTCACTTTGGGATTATCTAAACTTGAAAGTCAAATACTACGTTTGTATTTGCTTTATCATGAGTTCACATTTCCCCTTATAATTTCAATAATTCTGTTTGGTTTTCTTTGTGCTCCATTGTGTAACTTGGTAATTTTGGTCTTGGTGTTTCTTAAGTGATCTATTTGAACACATGAATATTGGTACAAAGGGGCATCGGATACATATTCGCCACACTTGTCACTTTATTTGTATGTGGACTCTTTTATGTGAGGCTTTACTTTGTTGTGTCTGCTTCTATCGTAACATAGTTTAGATTTGGTAACCACAGTTATTATTTATCAAGTAGGAAAATCACTGAAAAATGTAAGCAAACTGGATTAATTTATTTTTAATCATCTTGTAAATTATTATTGAATGCTTAATTTAATACTTGTTTTTATAGACTTGAAACACAGATTTTACTCATCTAATGAGTAGTGAAGTAAGTACTGGTGATGGATTTATCACACTGCTAGGTCCCCAATTACTTCTTAAAATTTACTCTAACTGGTCATACAAAAGCAGTCTCATCAGTAAAATTCAGTGAAAATGGTCAGTGGTTAGCAAGTTCATGTAAGCACTCGACTATTGGTTACATTTCCCCTTTAAAACAATGCAGCAGCTGATAAACTAATCAAAGTATGGAATGCCTATGACGGGAAATTTGAAAAATCTATCAGCGGCCATAAACTGGTAGTTTTTACCTTAATAATCTTTATTTGCTATGCATATATAATATATTACAGGGAATCTCAGATGTTTCATGGTCTTATGACTCAAGATTTCTGTGTAGTTCCTCCGATGACAAAACTTTGAAACTGTGGGATCTCGTCTCTGGAAAGTGCCTAAAAACTCTTAAAGGTCACAGCAATTATGTTTTTTGCTGCAATTTTAATCCACAGTCAAACCTCATCGTTTCTGGCTCGGTATGTCTTTTGTCTTTATTGTTTTCTAACCGCTACTGGTATAGTTTGATGAAAGTGTCAAGTTATGGGATGTGAAAACAGGCCGGTGTATCCGCACGCTTCCTGCCCACTCTGATCCTGTTACAGCTGTATGTCTTTATATGTATAATTTTCTTAAAACTCCGCTTAGGTTAATTTTAATCGTGATGGTTCACTTATTGCTTCCAGCAGTTATGATGGACTATGGTATGTGGCTTGAATTGTATTTTTTGAACAATTAATCTAAATTTTAGTCGAATCTGGGATACCGGTTCTGGTCAGTGCTTAAAAACATTGATAGGTAACTTGACTTGTGCATGCACATATACTACTCAATTAATTGATTTTCAGATGATGATAACCCTCCTGTTTCATTTGTTAAATTCTCGCCTAATGGAAAATACATTCTAGCTGCTACACTTGATAGGTATTTCAGTTATTTAACATGACTAAATCCTAATGAATTTTCCAAACATAGTTGTCTCAAATTATGGGATTACACTAAAGGTAGATGCTTGAAAATTTATGGAGGGCACAAAAATGAGAAGTATTGTATATTTGCAAATTTTTCAGTTACCGGAGGCAAAGTATGTTTAACAATTTATTTAATGATTGTTTTTGACTAGTGGATTGTCTCGGGGTCTGAAGACAACTGTATTTATTTGTGGAATTTGCAAACAAAGGAAATTGTACAAAAACTTTCTGGTCATAATGGTTTGTTTTTACATTTTATCTCTAAGCTTTTTAATTCTTTTATAGATGTTGTTTTGTGTACCGCTTGTCATCCTCAAATGAACATGATTGCTTCAGGATCGTTAGAGGGCGATAAAACAATTAAAATTTGGACTAGTGATAAGTGATTGCTTCTGATTTATTATATTTCTGGATCCTTGTATACTTTTTTTTTCTCCAATGCTCTTTGCTTGTATATGTTTGTATCATCTGTTTTTCAAATCACAGGTTATTCATATGATCTACAAGTTTATCGATTCATCCTACCTAAATTATTCACTATTGACATGTTTTGTTGCAAAAAGGAACAATCTATCTTCTATTGTAAATTGTTCGACTAAGATTGTTCGTTTGAGTGTTTCTTTATCGATCCTTGTGAAATGAACTTCTTACGAATCCGCGCCTTAGTAGTAAAATGCAGACACGGTTAATAATCAATGAATGGTACGTTGATGTAGTCAATTAAATAACTGCTCACGTTTACAATCCTAACTGATCAATCTACTAGGAAGGAAAGTAAACGATAATTGATGTAAAATATACTTTTTGATCCTTGCGTGCATGAAAGAATGAAGTGGCTGTCTGATAAATCTCTTAAACCAAAATATTGTGGTGACCTTTTAATCACTGAACATATTCCAGAAACCTGTGTGACATAAGTAGATTGTATAATCCGAAATAATGGATTTTTCAGAGGACTAGGGCAATTGGAAATCTGGACTAAAAAACGACGAACTACACCATTTTTGTTGAGTGAACGGACAAACGGAGAATATTGCAATTCTTTCTTCGTCGTTAGGATGTAACAGCCTGGTTGTGGGATTATCGTTATTGGCGTGAAACAAAACACAATTGTGGCACCATATATGGTTACAGCAACTAACGTTAACACTTGAAATTTCTGGGTGAAGGTATCATAAGTATCTGGATACGTCAGTTATCAAGATTTTTGAATATTCTTGTTTATATATTTCAGGTGAATCTATTTGATAACCAGTTACTCTGACTGTAAAATAAACTTTCTCAGTCCATATTTCAGCCAAAGCACACTTAGTATAGGAAGTAATTAACTCCAAACGCAATTCCAAGTTAATCTGCTGGTTGTTGAGCACAGTGTTAGCTTGGCTAAAGTCAGAATAGGTAAACTATTTGGCTTAGTTAACTTTCCATTTTAAGACGCAAACTAACACGGTTATGATACGAAAAACAAATTAATAGTCTACTAAACAGAAAAAGAGCGACATGAGTAACACACTGAATAGTAATCAGAGGAGAGGTAAAGGGAGTCAAGAAAACATACTATCCATTTGTATTGGTTGTTTGAATTTTCCCACTGGATTTAAGGACTGCAACTGATTAGTCTCTGCTTGGCATATGTGCGGATTGTCTTACGTTACAAGCATTATAAGCAAAAGTGGTTGGTGGCTAACCGTGGAGTACACGACGTGGGTCCCGAATGGGACAAAACCTCACTCCATTGCACAAGCTAGTGGGTATCTGGACTCAATATCAAAGTGGATAACGCAAAGGCGTTTAAAGAAAAAGGCACTGGGTTGGAGTCTCGTAGTGGACGTTAACCCTGGGATGGAGATACATCCAGGCGCGCGTCCTGGATTCCACCGTTAAAATTAATATCATTTATGACAAACATGGGGGGTTGTGAATTAGTGAGTAGACAAGACGGGTCCCCAACTGCCGTGGTACGGTTGAGGGTAGGGAAAGTCAACTCTCTCTCTCAAAATGATCTCATATGGCCATGCGTGTAAAGCCACTGTCAGAGAAATACTACTCACTGCCTTCTCGTGGCATTACTGTTGTTTAGTGCTTTGACAGGACGAAAAGTGAATGTTCGACGCTTTAACCGGGTTGGTGGACACGGAGAGACAAATGGAGTATGAATCTATTGTTGGTCACCGGCCACCATCGGACTTCATCTCTTATCGTTGCTTCACTGCCTTGTGGATTAGACCTTTAGGTCGAAGGCTCCGGGTGTGGCCCCCTAAGAAAACCACCTGCTTCGGTTTGGGCACTCGAGCAGTGTCATAGATCATACACAAGTAGTGACTTGTGTGGTGCATATGCATTCGGTGTTCAAATGAATCAATAAATAATTAAACATACAAGATCGAAGAGAGTCAAGGTGGTGGGCATTTGACGCTGACATTGGTGGGTTCGTGTACCTATCATGCCTTACATTTAGTTTGGAATTAATATTTTCACTATTGAAAAGCATCAGAAAATCTTTTTCCTAGGGAAATGACAGGTATCCGAAGATTCGGGTTAACAAACAATTCTACTGAATTAGATTACAGTGTGAAGGTTCACCATAATGTTTATGAAAAAAAACAATGTAAAACTTCAAGATTGCCATTGGGTTCTATCTTGAGGCCTTGAGTCAGTGAGTAGTACAACCTTCATGGCGCTATTCCGTTTGCGACGCATTATAGAATATTAAACCTATGAAGATTATGTTGCAATTTACGAAACCATATAATAATTTGACTTCTTCCGCTCATTTTCCGTGTTGTCTGAGCATCAGCAAAATGTAACAATTAGCGAGTTATCTCTAGCGTCTACGCTCCTGGGCCTCACTACACTGTTGGTTCATAATGGAAGCAGTTCTTCAGACAGTCTTTAAAATTCTAGATTTTACAAGTATCAAGTAGGACTGCACCCATTAAAACGTCCCATAAGCGACAAGCATTAGCACACGTCACTCTCATCTTTGCTACACGTGGACTGATATCGTTTGACATCACTTATTTAATCACCCAAATACACGGGCTCTCATATTACTCCTGTCAGTTAATCACAAAGGATATATGCAGACACAAGTCTCAGATAAGACGCCATCGGTTTGCCGCGTGTTTTTATGAAATTCGCTTAGTCTTCTGACCAGGATATTGCAATCATACTAAAAAGTATCGGAATTCCTTCCAAATGTTTATTACGCCAGTTGTTTTGTTATCTACGACCAAGAACAACAGGACATCCTGGCCAAAGTAAACCCATTTCTAAAGTGCTCTACTTAGCACAGCACATTCTCGGAATCCGATGATATATTTCTCTAGAGTAGTAGTAAAACATCAACGAAGCGTATCAATAAGAGTCCAGTTATAGGGTTATCTTTGTTAAAATTGAATTTAAACAGTTATGTGTAACACCATCGTTAGCTCACTTAGTGTTGGCGAATATGATTGAGCACTTTGACCTAATGGTGTTGTCGGAGACAGAAGATAATAATTATTATTTTCATGAACAGCTACGTCTTTCTATTTCTTTATCGTACATATACATTATTTTTAATAGCCCCACTAAACAATCAGCTCCTACAATGATTCGCCTTGTGAAAAGTCGATGAAAGATGATTATTCTCAAATCCAAAACAATAACGTGGGTATTTATTAGCAAGATATAGATTGGAGTAAAGCATGTTCCGTGTACGATTGTGTTGGGGCACGCTGGTTGGCTATTTCCTAACCAATCAGCGCTAGCGGAGACTTGGAGAAGTTTCTAGAAGCTTATATAGAAATTCTAAGTATAATGACGTTTTTCTTGTGATTCTTATTTCCATCCAAATTTGTTATTTGGAATATAATTACGTCCCTGTTCTAACTTGGGGACTAGTCGAGTGAAGTAGTGTCCAAGAATACTAAACAATAGGAGTAGCTGAGTTGTAACAAGAGAACTTATAACAGTATTAGATTTATGGATGTCAGCGACCGAAAATTGGGCGATGTCAAGTTAAAACCTAGTGACGATCAGCACTAGGTCCAAGGACTTGAAAATAGTCAAAATATCTTTTCTTTTCGGCTGTACGTCTTCTACGTTTCCGACTTAGTTACACAGGTTTTTTTAATTATCTACACTGAAACATCTATATTTCAAAGATTAACTGACATTTGGCCTTATCTATTGGATATATCCTTCAGACTAACGTTGTCTTGACTGTGATGGGGACACTTACAATTATCCATATGTACCATCATGGGGTTAAATACAATTTGTACTTTCGAACGATCACTGAAACTATACGTACTAAACTGAAGGCAAAAAATTACTTTTTCTCAGCCAATATGTACCTTTAGCAAAAATATATTGTTAATCAGAAAGAAATCAAATACATATTATTAAAAATAATAAAACAATGCATAATTTAGTTAGCAAACAAATCAGATCTATAAATTAATGTCACTGTTTATAATGTGACCAGATCTCTGGTTTCAATATGATTGAATATAGTATCTAAAGTTTCTTTTGGTGGACCTTCTGCAATCAATCGTCCAGACTGCATGACTATAACACGTGAGCACAAACGGCGAACTGAAGCAAGTCGATGGGCTATGAGTAATATTGTGGCTTCTTGAAATTCTTGGTCAAGGACTTGCTGTTTGTATGGAAAATGTAAATAAATGTTAAAACAATGTTACATAAGTGATATATGTGTTCTTGGTATAGTACATTTTGTTAATAAGTGGAAAATTGGTCAGTAGTAAGACTTATGCGTGTCAGTAGTTGCCTTTTCTTCAACTTATTAACAAGGAAGAAAATATCAGAATATAGTTTGCTCATTCAATATATTTTTGTCACGAGAAATAATGAAGAAGGAAAGTTAAAGATTGTAATCTGTGCAATAAAGTTTAACCTATATACTAAATAACTTCTAAACATTACTAGCCCAGTAAAATACGTCAAGTTTGTATTTTCGTTTTAGTTAGTTGACAAAATGAGAGGATAGTATAACAAACAAACTGATAAATTAGTTATGCTTATTGTGGTGTGCTACTTATTTAGACATAAGTAGTATATGTCAGTCGCAAACAGAATGTCTGGTAGCAGAAAGATAAAAAGATCGAACAATAAAGAATGGAAACAGAATGCAATTTGTATGAAAATGCAATAACAATAAAGCCTGAGTCATTTTGAGACAATTGATGGACATTTTGCAAATTAGGCATTTACTATATGGTTGTTGGATTTTGTTAGCGAGTTCTGTAATCTGTTGTCAAATACATCTGATTGTCCCCACCCGTGTTCTATTCACTACATTATCTCATACGTCGATAACTTAAGATCATAATCAAAATGTTGCTGAAACATGGCGAGGTAGCTGACGCTGACAGGCCCATAAATCCAGACCATACGATTTCGCGACCATTTAATTTAAGACAGAAGGAAAATGCTAATTAACTACAATGTGGGAAGTAATGTGTTGAACACATAATTTGTTAATTTCCGCTTTAAATAAATGGTAATGAGTTAGCTGTTCATATCAGTCTGATTGTGAAAGAATTCAGAAGGAACCACATCAAGATGTTATCTGAAACTGAATATGTTAATGTCGAAATTACGGATAAATAATTCAGCCAGTTAAAAATCAGTAAGAATATAGAATTCGAAGAAAGGATTAAACATTAAGAGAGATATGAGAGTTATAAAATCTGAACTTTTAACAAGAATATGAATTTCAGCAATTATGATCCAGCTAATGAGAAAAAAGTAAAATTGATAAATTATTTGTGCAGTAACTTAAACCTTATTCCGTTCAATAGCTAAGTCAAAGACATGTCTAGATTCACAGAGAATTTAGACATAATAGTTGTACCATAATTAAATAACTTTTTTGTATTAATTCGACTTTGTCTACCATAGGACTATTATCAACCAAGCGTTCCAAGATAGCATTGCGTATTGTCTTTGTTTGGGTGGGAGATACTCACTCATTTGTCGGTTAAGTTGCCTGGTAGTACGCCCAATATAGCTAACTCCACAAAAGCAGCTGAATTTTTAAGTGCGCACTCATCCGCTACAGAAGAAATCTGGTTAGATATCTCAAGAACAGAACAAAAAGGATCTCAGATGATACTATAAAGGAGTTGTCGTTTATTAATAACATACTGACGGAGATCGGCTACCCAAGAAGTTTAAGGAACTTCTTGGGTAAGTAAGTAACTCAGTTGTTAGGAAACGGGTACTAGGTAAGGATGGCAAATCAATTGATGAAGTTGTGAAACTTAATCAGTTGAGATGGCTGGGACATGTGCTGCGCATGCCCGACCACCGACTGCCCCGACGTGCTATGTTTTATGGTGTAGGAGTAGGTTGGAAGAAAGCTAGGGGCGGCCAGACCAAAACATGGCACAAATCCATGAAGTCACTGACAAGTGGACTGAGTCATGTTGGTAGGTGTAGACTACCTGGTTGGGGACCGCGAGACGATAGCAACCGATGGTTAGAGACCTTGAATGACATGGCTCAAAATCGTTTGCAATGGCGCAGGTGCATCCACTCTTTGTGTTCTCTCAAACTCTAATCTTCTGAATTCTCCATGTCCTTTATTTTCTTTCCCAATTTATTCCACTGGACTATACTCCTTTAATAACATCATCAAACCTTCATGTCCCCTATCTCTACTTATACTTTCAGTACCTCTACCACTATGGGATTTGAATCGATAACTGAATCTCTGTGCTAATGTGGTATGGCAACTCGAACTGATGTACGTACGTACGAAGTTCCACGTTGTTACTGACTGACTGACTGAGAAGTTCCTTAAAGTATATGCACGCAGGGAAAAATAAGTTGAATACACTGACTACTCGTAAGAAACCTCCATTCCCAAAACCAAAATTCGATGGGGATTTGGCTAGCAAGGGCAGTTAGGACATTTTACGCAGCTAATTTTGCGTAGGCATCTTCTAGCAGATAAGTGACGTCTACCTAAACAAAGGATAAGTTACTTGAGTCTGTTTTCTCAATGTGCATTTGAAAATTCAGCTGCTTTTGTGGAGATAGCTATATTAGGCGTACTACCAGGCAACTTAACCGACAAATGAGTGAGTATCTCCCACCCAAACAAAGACAATACGCAATGCTATCTTAGAATGCTTGGTTGATAATAAACGTATGGTAGATAAAACCAAGTCATATCGAGTGATCTATCGTATGCCTCTTTACAAAAAGCTGGACCATGCTATACATTAACCAAAGTTTGGACAGTAATGTCACACAATTAATTCATTAATTAATGACTAACACAGAATGAAATCTTACATGAATAGCTTCTTCACATTTATTGTCTACTGAAGCAGTGGCTTCATCTAAACAAATAATTTTCGGCCTAGGTTGACGAAGTAAAGCTCGAGCTAAACAAATTAATTGCCTTTGCCCGGCAGATATATCTCGTCCTGATTCACCAACTTCACGAAGTAACCACTGAGAGGCTTGTAAACGACTTGTAGCCAGTTGACATTTCAATAAAACTTCTTCTAATACAGAATCATTTAGCTTACTGGTAATTTTTTTATGGGAAAAAAAATAAGTGGAAGTAATGAAATTATGAATAAATGTGGTAATAATAATGACTGAGTTTTAAGAACGGTTAAGAAAAACTGGCGATACATTTTTGAAGAGTTAGATGATGGCGGATATTAGAATACTTGGATCATTTCTCATCCTAATTCAGGATCTGCCACTTTTATTGTTTCAAATATCATAGAGAAGCTCGTATACTATGGTGTCATCATTATAAATGACAGTTTTGTGTAAAACGCATGTTGAATACACTAGTAGGATATAATCTGTTTAATCTACTTTCCACTAATATTATAATGTACGAATTTAACTCTATGGATGAAATACTTATCATTGGTTCGATAAAAATCCCTACTGGGAAAGTAAAAATCACATCTTTCCTTATAATTTGGTCGTTATTGTGATGTTTACTGGTGTATGAATAAGGTGGAAAAAAGCGACAACCAATCCAGGACGTTGCATTAGTTTATCTAGTTATTAACTGTTGGATCGAGTCGTGTTGGTATGTTCAGATTACCTAATTAGGGTCAGCACCATTATCGTGATGAAGCGCTAGGGCTGTCAAGTGACATGATTTAAAATCAGTCACAATGGCACAAATGCAGTCACCTTTTGTATTGTTTTGGATCTTGAGTTTTATGATCAAATTATGCTCTTTTATTCCACGAACGTATTTTTTCTCGAATTATACTATTTATGGCTAATCTTTTCTGTTATCATTAATACCGTTAATGCTGCTATTACTATGGCATTTGTGTTGATAATTTTATCTCGCCGTGCTGAAATGGTATGGCAACTTGAACCGATGCACGAATGTGCCAGGTTCTACGTTACTTACGATTGACTGACGTTGTGATCAGCTAACGAAGAGATACGGGATTGCATCTCAGCGTAAGTTAATTACAACATTCATAAGTTAAAAATGTTTTATATGATAAGATTAATCACGATAGAGGGAAAATAATTTCTAATGAACATACTTCTCAGGATCTAGATTATCTCGTAAACACCCAGAAAAGAGAAATGGTTCCTGACAAATAGTTAGAATTCGAGAACGAAGTAAGGTGAGAGGAATAGTGCGAACATCTATTCCATCGACAAACACCTTGCAAATGAAAAATAGTTAGGGGAAAGCGAAGTATGATAATACTAAATACTAATAATAATAACAATGAAAAAATAAAGGAAGTACATGATCGATGAAAATTTCGATATCATTTGAATCAGATAATAAATAAGCTGCTAAAACGGAAGGAATAAGTGAAGTTTTGAAACTTATTCCCTGAGAAATTAGCATGTATACTTGATGCATTAGATGAGAGTGTGTGTGATTAATCCATGAAGGTTGATGAAAAGACCCACTACAATTTTTTGCATAAATCATTATGCTTATACCGAAACTCTGGTTTACTACTCGGATTTTCACTGAATGAGGACTGTGCTTAACTGTATCAAACAAACTATTGTTTGGCCTATACCCCGGTACTCTGTGTTTAGTCGTGAATCGTGAAATGTGATTTAGTCGAGTAGTCTAATTATTTAGTATCTATTATAGTGTGTCCAGTCAGATTACTGAGTCGATTATCATACTATCGCATATTCAAATGACAGATAAATATTGATTGAAAATCTCCTCCTTGAGTGTGAGTTTAACGTAAACTAATTATTATTTGTTGTAGAACCTCTTACTGTTTATCTATTTTTAACCATAAATATTTTGAGAAGCTAAGACAACACATTAATTTATTCAACCTCGAGTGCGTTATTCCGGTAAATCTAATATCATTGTCATATGTTTCAAGTACACACCACATGTGAGTTTTAATAGTGCAGCATAATATCAGTACATAGCCACATAATCATCTGACTGGTAGTTTAGAGAGGAGTTGGAATTTCGCAAGGATTATAGACTGTTAGTGAACTCATAATGTGTTGTGTACTACTGATCTGAACAGATATAAGTAGTATGTGTCATGAATCGAAAGTGAAATGCCTAGCGGCAGAAGGTGAAGAAGATCGAAGTAAAGAGAATGAGATTAAAAAATGATTGTTATGGAAGCGAAGGAATTGTGAAGTCTGAGACGATTGATCGACATTTTGCAAATGAAGTATTGACTGTATGGTTCTCAGATTTTACTAAGAGATCCTGTAATTTTGTATTCAAATACATTCGATTGTACCCACATGTGTTTTCGTTCACCACAATAAGTAGGCACAGGATGGAAATAATAACACAAGTAACATATAGATAAAATATATATAATTAATTCTGGTCCTACATTTATGTTGTAAGCTGATTTATGAAATCAACTAACCAAATAAATTCGGGGTTCGAAGACAGACTACCTAATTTTCAAACATCGATTTGAATGTTCGAATTCCATTTTGACTAGCCTTATGCTGTGATTCTCAAAAAGTTGTCATTCGTAAGAAGATAACTAATCATATGAGACATTGAATACGATAGAAAGCTAGGATAATCTCAGTGGATATTGAAAATAAGGGGATATATCAATTACAAGTAGGGAAGGGGGGTGACAAATGAAAAACAAGATAGGGATTGAGAAATACAATGCATGTACACAAACTCTGTGCACAAGATCAAGATGGTAGATGATATTCAACACTGCCTTTAATCTGGGATGGCTAATCTAATCTCGCCAGACAGCATTCATCAGTCAACGGCCAATTGAAATGATACTTCTTGCAGAACCACGGCAGTTGATATAAAGGACGACCTCAAATCTAGCATCTTACTTTTAAGGCAGGAATCTTCCACACATCCCACTTCTACTAACCAATATTTATGCCATTATTTACAATTTTATACCAGACAAACGGCTAGTAATTGCTTGGATTTTTTGTGTTACTGAAGATCAGATCATAAATTTTATATTTAGTGATTATATATTAGTATTAAAAAGTACCACTTTGGATGCGCAAAGAAAAGGTGGTGTCGAGGAATTATTATATTGCTGATTAGAAAGCGTACAATAGAGCAACTTGAAAAAACTAAACAAATGTAACATACCTGACCGGTGGCACCTATAAATCCCATCTGATTGGCTATATATTGGTTTGTATACGGTCCAGGGAGGTGATCAACTAGACGTAATAACACTTTGATGAGGCTACTTTTACCAGATCCCGTACGTCCAACAATTCCTACACATTCACCGGGTTTAACAGTAAAACTGACATCATCAAGAGCTTTAACAGATTGTTCATTAGCTGACTGGGAGTTTTGACGATAGGTAAGCGAAACATTGTTGAAAAAAATGGATCCAGATGCTGGCCAGTTAGGCAGTAGTCCCGTGGGATAAGCAATACCACTTTTCCTCTCTTTCGGTAAACGAAGGTGACTGTGTGACGAAGAACGAGGTTGAGGCCCCTTCAGAAGAGTAATTACACGAATACGAGGTAATTCCAAAATGTTTTTTAGAAAAATTGTAACAGACAACATTTAACATAGCAATTTAGTATTTCCATTTCCATAAGAATTATAAAGAGTATATTACAGTTAAATGTTGGGTAAATGGTTGAAGAGCAAGCAGATCTGATAATCCTATTCGAGGAAGGAGATAAGTTGATCAATTTTACAAGATTGTTTCCTAAAGTGCTGCCCAGGCTTCGTGTTTTATAACCTCATTGAAGGTTACTGAAATTTTTTCGTGGTAATATGAATTACAAACATCAATTCAATCTCCTAAGCCACAATAATTTGCGGATGGGGAAGCTGACCGAGGCGGAATTCGAAACTATCCGACCATTACTGATTTCAGGGAAGAAAGCTTTATTATTGTCCACTTTGTATATATATATAGTAACTACTTACATCAAATTGTTAGAATTAGACTGACAAACATATACAAGAAATAACTAAATACAATTCTAAAAGAAATTTATACATAACTAAAAGACGAATAGTAAACTATGGACTAACCATGGGTTTAATTGATACAATATCATGTTCAATTGGAGTATCATCAGTTAATTCTTGACAACGTTCTACAGCTACAAGATTTTTCTCTGTTTCAGTCATATCATACACAACACTAGTCATTAAACCCGAAATATTAAGTGCATAAACAACCGACAAACCAATAGAAGCTATCTGAAATGAAAAAAAAAGTGGAATCTTGATGTTTAGTTTGAGATTGGTTGTTCTTTATCTAATCTTAGAGACTTATTGGACTGTCTGCGAAACATGGTTCTTAAGGTGGAGTTAGAGTTCTATAAACCATGCATTGGAAACTTTGATGATTAGTTATCAAAGAGAGAGAGAGAGAATTAAGCAATTCAACCAATTAAAAATGATATTATGAAAGCCTACCATCTTAAATTGGTCGAATTTTTGTTTATGGCTTCCACTTGTTATTACATGCTAACTACGATAAGATTAAACATTCTAATCTATACGTTGAAGCGTAACTGTTATCCATGATTTTTTTCCAGTTATACATTAATGTTCAGTATAGTGTATGTAATAGCTTATTTAAGCAACTATATTTACTTAAAACTACTGCATTGATTATATTAATTTTATTTTAGAAACAGACGAAATATTAAAAATAAGCTGTATATGTTTTAAGTAGGATTTTTAAACAGATTCAGATTTGACAGAGATGGTCATACTATCCGGTAGTGGAGACTGGAATAGGTAGAACATGGTCGAAAGTTGAGTGTTTTAACTATTGGGTTGTCGCTGTACGTGAAAACGATGTATACAAACTCTGAAAATGATCCTTATTTTACATGCACATCAATGATTGAGAAACAAATTTTCACCCTTCAACTTGCACTTTTATTTTTCCTTCATATAAAAACATACTAACACCGAATATCAATAATTAATAACTCAATCTTACATACACATATACAATTCGTTCAGTCATTTATTTTCACATCGTGGACTTTTGACATGATTCGCATTTAACTGACTTATGTTGTCCTATTTACTAAAATCAACATCCAAATATGATTGGATTAACATAGTATAGATTTGATTGTTAAAACATCATATAATTTTTGATGATTTTGATTATTACCCTGAAGAAGTCCAGAAAAGTTTGCTGGACGAAACGTTGGAATTATTTTGAATTTCAATCGCTGAGATTATTTCAAATATAATGACTTCTGATTGATTGAATTTCGTATCGTTGAGGTAGTCAAATTAAGATGAAATAAACAAATATGTATACAGGTATATACATATGGGATGAATGATATCCTGTAAAGTACCTATACTGATGAATTATATCATCAATGAGATGCCTGTAGCATTCAATAAACATTACTTTTTATCGGAAATTGAACCACCTATCCTTTGATTAAACAATGATTTCAGTTTTTTGTTACTTGGGCTAGATGGCTAAATTGCAGAGCTGTCATTGTATTCCTGGACAATATTAGTGCCTACCTTCATGTAGAAGTGAGTTTTGCTGCTATTCCACAAGTGTCATATCAGTTTATTCCGATGGCATTGTTTGTAATTGTCTGTCTTCGTAGATTTCGGTTCTTTTCATTTTTCATTGTATTGATGTTGACTGTTTTATATTATTTGATCCACAACCTTGTAAATGATCGATCACTTCTGTATAGGTTTATAGATTGGGTGTTTATCACAATCCAATTTCAATCAAACAACCAATAAGGATTAGAACAAATCAAGGCGAAGTTTCTTTGAATTTTATTGTAATTAGAAAATTCCTCAAGATTACACTTTTCATCATACACTTATTAAAACCACTAGATGACTGAAACCATAATTTATATCTACAATCAACTTAAAATATAACATGGCTAAAGAAAAATGACTCAATGTAAATCATTGATGTAGTTAAGTACATTTTGAATGATAAACGAACTATGACTTACATGTGTCCAGTCAAATAATCGACCAACTAATGATACAATGACCACACCAGTAATCACAGCACTGCCAATTAATTGTAGTCTTATACTTAACCAACAACTAGCAGCCAAACTAGCTAACTCAGCACGTATTTGATCAGATAATTTACAAGCTGTTAATTGTCGAAAACGGATTTCTTGACCTAAACCACGTATTACTGCTAATCCAGATAAAGTATCAGTATAATGAGCATAAACAGGTGAACGAACAATACTGGGAATTGTGAATAGTAATGATATCAGCATTAATAGAAGACGTTTAGATTTAAAGTAAAAAAAAGAAGTGAAATAAAGTATAATTTTCTTCTAGATAAGTGATTTATGATTACATATGACTAAAAAGTAATTATTTATGAAAAAGCCAAAACTGTTACACAACTAACATAATTCAAAATACATTTTTGGTAAAATGATTTTGAGTAGATACCTATTTTCGAACATTACTTCAAACATGTATTTTAAAGTAAATGAGTAAGTCTATGTGTAAGTTATGTATACAATGCAAGCAATATATAGTGAAAGATATAAATTCGGAAAGTGATCGATAGAGGCACGAACGTTTTAATTTTTCTAGCTAAGATTTTCTATTAACGAACCTTATGTCAAATAGAAAGTAGACCATATGTTGAGCAACCGATATTTATGATAAGTATGTTATTCGTCATACAAGTTTATAATATACACTAAAATTTATGGTTGCATTCCAAACAATCATTGAAATTAATCTAAAAAAATTATTAGATCAATTGAGAAATATCTATGTATGTACAGTAAGTGTTAGTTATGCAACGAATGAACTTGAAAATATGTGTTTTTAGATATATAGTTTTGTTAGGGAGTTTTGACGAAAATGAAACTTGGGCACGGATTTCACGATTAATAGACTGTGAACATCTAGCGTTCAAATAACCAGAAAAACTCTAAGAGTCCCATCAAGCTTCTAGAAATATGGCATTCAGATCAATCGGCAATCAATAAACATATCGACATGAATCCAGTAAATGAACTTATACAAAAGTGATCGATCATTTACAAGGCTGGGGATCAAATAATATAAAACAGTCAACATCAATACAATGAAAAATGAAAAGAACCGAAATCTACGAAGACAGACAATTACAAACAATGCCATCGGAATAAACTGATATGACACTTGTGGAATAGCAGCAAAACTCACTTCTACATGAAGGTAGGCACTAATATTGTCCAGGAATACAATGACAGCTCTGCAATTTAGCCATCTAGCCCAGGTAACACAATACCACCAAAAGCATTCACAGGTAAGTTTCATCACAGACAGATATTGCATAAAGTACCACAAACAGCTATTTCATCTTGCTTTGAGACTACTTATGAGTGTACATCAAAAGAGATCAACGTCGAGAATTCGAAGTCTAATAGTGAGCACTCAAATTCGCACACAAATTCCATTTATCGATTGATGAAATTCAAATAACACCGAAGGGTGTGGCGAATCTTTTAATAATTGTGAGTCAGCCATCACATAAACATAATTCATGTATGTCCATAAGATCTTATTATTATTGTCACTCAAACGTTTCCCTATACAGATGAAAATTTCGAAAAGCCTTTTAAATTATAAGTTAGGTGTCTAATAATCCAGTAATTTCATGAAATATAGAATTAAACATAAGAATCTTAATCACTAATTATTGGACTTGTTCGCAAAAATAAATGTATACGTGGGTCTAATGGTTGATAAATTAAACTATCAACTGTATGATCAAAATTTACAAACTAGTTCCACCTACCTACTGACATAGTAGTATGATTAGAGTACACAGTTAAAGTGTAGCTCAAAGTTACGGAGATGAACAAGTAATTAATTAATAGGTCACAAAAATATCTATATATACTTCAATTCAAATATTGACAATAATATGTATTCGACTGGGTGATTTAAGGACAGTCAGTACTTTGAAAATAAATAACTTATTTCTCGATTAGCGTCAATTCTTAACTTTCACGAAATCATTGTTACGTTGTATAACAAATAAATTCTAACAATTATCTTATCGCGAAAAAGTTACCCATTATATAGATATTTAACCTCCACTTAGTTTATGTACACGATAAACAGTCGTAGGTTTGAATTTCACCTCATTTACATAAGGCAGTCCGTTAGAATAAATAATCAACTTTTAAATAAACAACAAATACAGCTGATAATCTATGGCATAAACCGGTGTAATCAAGGTGAACTATTATTAGATTAATGATAATAATAATCGAATTAGATAGGTAATCGAGATGAATTGTACGGTCTTATGACAGCATTTACAAAAATGTATTAAAACGTAAACAGCGTTAATGTCATTATCAGTGGAAGTTTTAAAGTTTTTACATATTTCCAACATTTAATAAACACTAGGAGGTAAATCGTAAAGAGTAACATGAAAACATTATAAAGGAATTATAGAATAACTACGATATTTAAAAAAACCATCCACATAATATAGATCGAAAGAGAAATTAACCAATGAATGATAGAGTGATCGCTATTCTAGAATAAAAAAAAAGATAAATTAACTCACCTAGAAATTCGCTTTAGATCTCTAGCAGCTCCACGATATTGCCTTTGAATAGACCAGAAAATGAATACAAGAGGTAGCAGAAAGAAGATTAACGTTGGTAGTGATACACAAACAATAACTAATGCACCCAATAATCCAGCTAAACTGGCTAGTAGAATATTTAATTGGAATGGTAATGCGTCATCTACTGTACCAACGTCAGATGAGAAACGATTCAGAATGCGACCTTGTGGTGTAGTATTAAAGTAATTCAGTCGTCCCTACAATGAGATAAATATATATATATATATATATATATATATATATATATATATTTACTTATAGAGAGAAAGGGAGAGACTACAAGCGTCTCACAAGTGTTTTAGCATTTATGAAAAAATTTTGGTAAGCATGTATGGAAAAATTGCTAGGCCAATAATAATGACCATTTACGTATGTGAATGACGTAAGAAAAGGTTATCGAATGTGAAATAGAATGTATATCCCTTGGATAATTCTAGAAACTTAGTGTTAGTTATATTTTATTTGCAATTACGAAATATCCGAGTTAAAATATAAAAGCAATAATTTGAGCTTGACTACGTGTTCTAGTATAAGAATGAATTAGACGCTGAATAGTACTGATTTGTGCATATCAACCCCTATATTATTCAAACCAGAGTAGATTGTTAAGGTTACTTGTCTCCAAAAGGAGCGGCAGTCTTGTACACAACCACGCCAGCAGTAGCTGATCGCGATGTGATCAATCTGAGTCCAGGCTTGAGATACAGAAGGAGTACGCCAGGTGGCACATCGGCGATGACTGTGCCGAAAGTTAGTGCTAGCCAGAAACAGGTTGTGGTCTGTGCATAGTTGCAGTAGACGTTCCCCGTTATCTGTCCTGAGACCAACAAGTCCCCTCTCTTCTGTGCCTAGACGCCCAACATGAGCATTCAAGTTTCCGGCTAGTACTACAATATCTGTCGAACGCACTTTCTGGAGAAGAACAGATAACTGGCGGTAGAATTCATCCTTGATTGCATCCGGGCTTCAATCTGTCGGGGCATAGGCGGAGATGACGAAAAGACATCGTTTCTCACGCCGATTTCTTCTCACTTTGATGGTACTTTCTAATCTAACGGCACATAACCGACTGTTAATGGGGATCCAGTCGATTAGTGCTGCCTCAGCTCTAGCGCTTAGTGTGACACCAACGCCAGCAAGACCAGACGAAGATGCCACAGGGTCCCCGGATAAACGCACGTAGAACAAGCTTTCTGAAGTGACAGATGGAGAGCGAACATGTAGTACTTCACCAGTCTTGAATACGGGTCTCGGATAGACAACAAACGTCAATATTAAGACTTTCCAAAGACATAGCCAGCCCTATCTGTTTTCCGACCTGCATAAGTGTGTGAACGTTGAAGGCAGCCACTTTGACTGGTGCAGGTGGTTTCAGAAAAACTGCTTCAATACTCTTATTCGATGGTAACATACAATTTTCAACCAGGCAGTGACTCGAGAACGTTTAGATAGAGCCGAATGTCCACCATAGGCGAGCTGCTGTATAAGTCGAAAATTAAGGATAGACAGAGTGGAAATAAAAGAGAGTGAATAAATGACGTGGTAAATAATAATAATAATAATAATAATAATAATAATAATAATAATAATAATAATAATAATAATGTGAATTGTCTGACAGTAAATCGCGGCGTGAATAAAGTTTTTAGAGAACATCATCATTTTCACTATATTTGTGTGTGGGCTGTGATACTGTTCGGGTGCCCAAACCGAAGCAGGTGGTTTTTTTAAGTAGCCACACCCCGAGCCTTCGACCTAAAGGTCTAACCCACAATGCAGTGGAGCATCGTGAGGAGATGCAGTCCCATGGTAACCGGTAACCAAGAAATCGGTTCACACGCCGTTTGTTCCTTCACGATACTGGAGCCCATGTGCACCATTGATTTGGGATCCGGTTATAGCGACGGACGTTCTATCTATCCACTTTCTTGGCAATAAAGACGTGGTCTCTTTCTTTGCCTTATTCGAAATGTGCCTGGCTAATTCTGGTGATTTGATCTGGAAGACATATAACCGAGTATTGGGTAGCATTCTACGATGATTCTCATCGATGGAGATAGACGTCCCCTACGAAGTTTAGCAAATTAGATCACTGGACATTTGTGCCAAATTCCATGTTGTTTACGATTGTGTGACTAACTGACTACTGTTTTCATGAGTGTATGTTCCGAATATCGATTAAGTCATCATTAGACTAAAACGATCAGGGATTTTAAATGTACAGTGTAATTGTATGGTGGGATTTTCAGCATGTATTATACCAACTTTACACAAGAATGTAAGAAAATAAAGAGTAAATATGATATTCACATTTTTTCGCATATTTAATCAAAAGGTTTACATAACTTCAGTACCAGATGTGTAGCCCTATTTATAACTCACTATATTGATTTACTATGTGTTGTAAAACGTTTAGTAATAGTGTAGCGAACAAAGAGTCCGGGGAAGTAAACTAATTTGTTGAACTAAGCAAAATCACACACTGAATTTGTAAAATATGAAAGCAATACATTGAATACATTATTTGTTCAGCTTCTTTGAGGTGTCTTTTACAAACTCTATCGTTGTTCCATTCCTGTTGCTACTCCAACTGCTTTTGTTTTTCTCTTCTCCTCATTTTCCTCTTCTGTCAGTAAGAATCCTAGCCCCGCCTCCTGATACATACTACTTATATCCGTCTGTATGAGTAGCAGACGCCACAGTACCATTTACATAATTATCATTACTACAATAATAGTAAATTGGCCTATAAGACAAATAAAACTTATTAATAGTATGCAACACACTTTCATTACCTATTAAAAACGTAAAATCTCAAATTTATTTGACAAACCTCCAAAATTGTGTCCAAAGCAGATTCATGAACAACAGATGCAGCGACTAGACCACCGAAAGCAAATAAAACAGCACGAAATATTGTAGCAATCAGATTACTTATCACTACAAATGCATAGATCTCTAAGTAATAATATCCAGTGATAGAATTAGGCTCACCAAACCGTACAACAGAATGTATGTTCGTTTGAAGCATTTCATTAATGGATGAATTGTAATCAATTGATGATAAATTATGAGTTGAGTGAAGATATTTATTTTTCGTATGATTACCTGGGAATAATTCTATTTGGTAAGATGAGCCTTGAAATGATGAAACTACTGCAGATAAATTCCCATTTTGTACCCAGTATGATAACCACCAATCAGATGCATTTCGAGTACCTATTATTAAAAGGAGGAATGCACAACAAAATGAAGATTTAAGATATGCAGCAGTGGTATATATAACAAGAAGGGTATTATAACTTAAGTAAATCACTTTTCTGTAAAGACGATATAAGTATGACTATCGTTAGAAAACCTTCCGCTAATTTCGATATCAGTGGTCAATAGCTTGCATTTGTATTTTAGTAATACTATGCGCTGCCTATGCCTACATAAGTAAGGCTGGGTTTGAACCTGTAACCTATAGATGAGAAGCTCAGTGACGTTACCAGTTAGTTAATTTATTCAGTATTTTGTAAATATATGTTATATATAAAAAGAGTTTTAATAAAGTATATAGTACTATTATCGCTACAAAAGCAGTTACATGTTCCATTCAAAGTAAAACTAATTAAATATTTATAAGAATGGGAGATTTGAAGTAACTGTCAGCAAATAACTTTCATTTCCTAAACCAGTATACTGATACGCTGGTCTGATTATAAATACTGAATCATGTGCAAAAATAAGGGTGTATCAGTTAACCGAAATATTTTCAATACGAGTTTGTTTAGTTTATCTAAACAATGAATATGCTTGGGTTAATGAATAAATAACGTATACTTGGTTTTCTACTATAAAATCTATGCATTAAAAACTTAATTGAACTAAAATAAACAAACATATGTACATAAATGGATAAACAGTAGCGATACATCATGCAGTATACATTTGTAAGTAGTCAACTAAGTAATAGTATGAAAATAAATGCAGTACTCTTTCGGCAGACATAAACAATATACCGTAGAATGTAACAGAATAATATAATGGTTGAAGTCAGGAAGCCAAAAATGTAGCACAGAGAAAATCAATAAAAGTAGGGAGATTGATTTCGAGACATATCGCTTACTGGGGTCAACCAGTAAGGAATCCAAGACAGGAGGTCCATGCTTTCTTATACGGGCCAGATCATGAGAAAACGTTCACAGAGAAGACAGGTCTATAGAACACTAATTTTCATCAAACTGTGATGTAAATCAATCTTTAATTTATGAGAAAAAAACATCTCTAACTAGTATAAATCCCTAAACAAAACAGCTCAGTAGATATGTGCATCTATTAATTTACTCAGTTTTCACATAAACTCCGAATTCCGACACTTACTTTCGTTCATATTTCTAAGACTACCGGTTAACTAACCTTAAAAACTAAAAGTTATAGATATACTATGGCTAATGACCTGTAAGACTGAAAGTCGTGCACACGGTTATTTGGTTATTCCTTATTATAAAAAAAGGTGAAAAATTGACAGTTTCTGATAAAAATCCTAATTTAGGACGAAACAACTGGGCCTAATTTGCAAATAAATACTTCAGGTGACGTTGACGATTTTAGTTAGCACCTGTTATAAATGTCTAAAAATGTTCCACTATGATATCAGTCACTTAGTTGGTCATCAGTGTAGAATTATGATGATGAGTAAAATAACTTATCGAATTTTTTCGCGCACGACAAAATAAATAGCCTAATTACTAACTAACGCAATTAACACATACCTTGCATTAACAATAAAGACAAGATAATGGAAAATGTTAAAAAGTAGCCAACAGAATGAATATATGATTTGTAGACATGGAGACTAATGGAACCGACTGCCATATGTTCCATATTTATATTCACATTGTTATTGTTATTATTGTTGATTACATAATTCGGACTGGATTCGGATCGATTGATACTGCTGTCGTCTTTAATAGTAATTAACGGAACATCATCATTTTCCAACGTCGAATTATTATTGTTTTCACTACTGTTATGATGATTATCACTGGATAATGTGGATTCATTATAGGTAGGACCGCTGTCGATGTCAAGAGCGAATTGATGCACACAGTCGTTATCATCATTGTCAGAGTAAAGATTACCTGGAATTTTTCGAGTAATTATTCCATCTTTCAATTCAACAATAAAATCCACTTGAGCACGTTTATTTACAGTTTTCTAAAAAGATAAAAAGAACATTAAGACAAATTCGAGAGAAATATATAAGGTAAACAAACGAATGATATTATACATGGTTGGTTGGAGAAACGCATCTTTACTTACAGTGTTCATTAACCAATCCAACTGATGTGTGACGATAATTCTAGTCCTTCCTGATAAAAGACCAAGTAAACAATTGGTGATAATCTGTTGACCAACATCAACATCAAGTGCAGATAATGGGTCATCTAAAAGATAAACATCGGCCTTTTGATAAACAGCTCGAGCAAGAGCAACACGAGCCCGTTGACCTCCACTAAGGCTGCTTCCACCAGCTTCACCAACATCTGTGTCTAAACCATTCGGAAGTTTACCCAGATCAGCTTTTAAGGCACACGCTTCAATTACAGTATTCATCCATGCTAAGTCACAGTCTGAGCCAAATAAAATATTTTCGCGTATAGTTCCAGAATGAAGCCAAGGAGTTTGTCCCACATAAGCATATCGAAGTCGTGGATTTGTTTTCATACTTTCAGTTCTAAGTTCGTCTTCTGAAACAACCGATTGTAGTTCACCCAATATACTTAGAAGTAAAGATGATTTCCCGGAACCAACTGGTCCAATTACACTGATTAATTCTCCCTGTAAATGATCGTGAATGTAATAAAGATGTTAAGAAAAATAATTGTGTGGAATGGGTAGTTAAACTAACAGAGTATGATACTATGATGCACCAATATAAATTGATATACCACTGAAATATACTTCTTATTCGGTACTCCAATTAACAACTAAAAACTTCGAATTCATATTTTTGTCTGACCCTAATGGTTCGCTTGGTAGCTCGATAATGATTTAGGAAACATCACCTTTAGGTAGACAGGAGCCAAAACATTACATCAATAGATTGGTCTTCAACTTTTATAAATACGCGCATGTCGGTTCTAACAAAATTAAACTTCGAAGATCCTGAATAATTAAGTACTAGTAAGCTTAATTAGTCTGCCATCAACCAACAAAATTTACAGCCACTTAGTAAAATAAAATAAACTATTGTTCTGTACATGGAAAAGAAAGTAACCTCTGATGGCAACAACCCAAAAATACAACAAAACAATTACAGGGGATACTGAGGTCTCTCCTTTGGGTTGGAATGTCCCAACGGAAGCTGATAATCATTCAATCCTAAATGACAACAACACGAAAATTCAAACCCTTACAAAAGTTGGATCCAAATTTTAGTGGTGCTATATAATCAACTAATATTTATTTATTTTAACACATAGATATTGGTACAAGGAGGTACCAAGTACATATGCGCCACAAAAATATCATTTGGCATGTGTGAGGGCTGTGATAATACTCGAGTGCCCAAACCGAAGCACGTGGTTTTCTTAGGGGGCCACACCTCGAGCCTTCGACCTGAAGGTCTGATCCACAAGGCAGTGGAGCATCGAAAGGAAATGCAGTCCCATGGTAGCCCGTGACCAAAAATTGGTTCACACGCCATTTGTTCCTTTAAGATACTGGAGCCCATGTGCACCATTGGTTTTGGATCCGGTTGAAGCCCCCAAATGCCCTGGTACGGCCGAGAGTGGGGAGAGTCCACTCTCTCTCTCTCTCGAAATGCTCTCACATGGCCACGCGTATACAGTCTCTGCCAGGGAAGTCCTACTCACTGCCTTCTCGTGGCGGGGGTGTTGTTTACGAAAATGAGAGGACGAAAAGCGAATGTCCGAAATCAACTAATAACTTTTAACTCACCCACTGCACCTGGAGAGTGATATTTTTTAAAACTAAATTATCGCAGTTAGTATAATAGAATGATTCATTCATAATATTTACTGGCATGCTGATAGTAGATTTTTCGGCAAAAGAACAAACAATCGGAATATCTGTTGGAATTCCAACATCAGAGAGCGGCGTATCAGTTAATTCTAATGGAAATGAACCAGACGATAAATAGAAAAGTTTTGTAATACGTTGCATGGATATGGTTGCCTCCATAACACCATTAATAACCCAAGGAAAAGCATTCATCGGACCAATTAACATTCCAAACAATGCAAGACTAGAAAATACCTTGAAGAGAACAAGATGATACTCAGTGGATGTGCAGATTTAAGTGGATATTTAAAAGACGAGTATTTAGTGTTCAAATAATAAGCAGATATTAATTTACAAACCAATACCAGTATGATTCAGTTTATAAGATCCAAAATGATAAATTTAAGGGGGAACTTATTCCATAGAACAGGACATGGAATACATAAAACTGGAAAATCATTTTGAGGATGCTGACAAGTGGCTATGACGGTAATTAAAAAAACCAAAGGTATCTGGTCCAACTTAGTTAACCATTGAGTTATGTACACAACTGAAAATTTACCACCAATAATTTTCAATAAACCCATATGCCAGATAAGTAGTTTTTTAAGAAACAACGTGCGAAACTTTATTCGTTTTTAACGAATATATGACATGGATCTTAAAATGATTATTCTACTGAAACTCATAGATGGTCATTAGTTGTCAGTGGACACTGAAAACATTTACCTACTACAATTAGACAATTGAGCATTATTAACTGAAGTCGGTGAAGATAACCTGATTTAAATAAATATATTTTTCCAACAACTAGTGTACTAAAAATGAGATACAGGGATACCAAATCATTAAAAAGTCGTATCTACTTTTTGGAACGGAAAAATTCATGACAATTATTTAAGACAGAAGGTGTGGCATAATAGATGGGCAAGAAAAGCGTCTACCAGTATATATATATATATATATATATATATATATATATACAAGTGTGTTGAAATTTGCTTTTAAAATTAAACACGTAGATATTATTAAGGGAAGGAAACGTCGAGGAAAAGCTTTAGCATCTGAATTGGGTGTGTACCCTAACATATATCATGTTTACTAGACTGTCTTTAAGACCAATAAATGACTAAGTCATAAACATCAAGATAACATAAATGCAACTGAATATTTACCACAGAAGCTTTTAATTCGTTACCGATAGCCACATAAGTTGCGAATGTTGAACTGGCTAACAATGCAGGACAGACAGCCCAAAAGAATACACAACAAGCGTCCAGCAACTTTTGACCACGTAGAGCGTTCAATTCCTGAATGCGAGAATGCATGACACGATTTTTCATCAAATTCTCCCAACATGCTAATTTCACTGAAACCGTATTTGATAGAATTTCAGACATCAGCTAAATTTCCGAAAAGAAAGCAATCATAATGTTTATTACCAAAGTAAAATTTAGTGTCAAAATTATATCACAAGAAAATTTATAAACTGAGTATTGAGAAATTTTGCATAGAAATTTTTTATACATAAGCATCGGCTTTACTGATTGAATTTATAACTAAAGATTTTCACACAGAAATGTATGGGTTAACTACACAGTTTACAACTTCAAGGGGCAGATACACAGAGTCAGTATTTATCATGCAAAAATATGCTCAGTTTGGTCAATACATTGAAAATAATCAAGTAAACGAACTTAATATTACAAAATCAAGGATTCTAATATTTTAGAGAAACTGTTTAAGTAAATGAAACTCTATAAGTAGAATGACTGCTTAAATTTTCCATTGGGTAGAACACAAAATAATTTTGGAAAAGCTTTTTATGGGATAAAAGTTTGACATATTTGAAAAAAGTGCATGTTTACCTACAAACTGTTTTTTTTAATTTCGGGAAGACATGGAAAAACACCTTATGTGATACATTTGTGAATCTAATCACAATATTATTCATTGCAACACAAGTGCGTTACTTGGTGGTTTAATCCTTTTTAACAGAAAAGGCGATTAGTCGCGATCATGGAAGCATCATTAACCGATTTTAAGATAAACGATTAGTGATGACAAGTTATGTGAATAGCGAGATTAGGGACAGAAAGATAGAAGTTCGAAGTCCTCTATGACTTTGTTTTAGTCATATTTTATTGACAAGTAGAGATGTCTCAAGAATACAAAAATGTTGCATTGACTATGTTTTCCAACGATAAACAAAGTTACTTGGTGTTACCTAGATACGCTGCTAACTAGTAGTGAGCTACATCTGAACATCTTAGTCAAAAGAAGCGGTAATGCATAGGGTAGAAACATTTCAAGACACTACTATTTTTATATTATGGTAAAACTTGGTTGAAAGAGAACCGTTTAAAATCCTTTTGCAAGTGAACTTGCAACTTAGTTTTCAGCTTGTCTTCCCGACAGAAAACAAATTTTAAGGTAACTGGGGTTTTATACAAAACAGAAACTAGGGGGTTTTACGGAAACAAGCACGAAATAACTGAAAAAAGCTATTTGTAATCGTGAATTATTAGTTGGTGTTTATAATTATACAGTAAGCTCGTAACAGAAAGCAGAGAATTGATATTTAGACAGCCTCAACCGTTTTAGTTAGCTGATCACTTCAAAGCAATATAGAAAACGAGTACAGTTAAGACACATGATTAGTTAAAACACTCACCTTAATCCGTGTATCCTTAAATACCATCAAACGGCGACTAAACTTCCCAATTTGTGCTGCTAAAATACGGTTCAGAGGAAGTAACACAAGTAGAAAGCCAATGCCTACTAAACAGGCAAGCCCAAGTTGATGATAAAGTAGTCCGACTGCAACAGATAACTGCAGAGGCATTGCCCACACTTCGTGAATACTAGGTGCGAAATTGACTATTCTATCAGCATCAGAGGTCAGATAATTAACCAAACACCCTGTTCCAATACAATTAAGTGACGAAGTTTTAAGGGATAAAATTGTTCTGTAAACCATTCCAGTTACACTGACTCTAACTTTGAAGCCGAAACTTGCCATTTTGTAATTGTAAGATGTGCTCAGAGCTGCAATCTTCAATGACAAAAACACTAGTCCGAAACCAACAAGAATGCAAGACCATGAGGGAGTTTCGGAGTTTGTCACGTTTAGAATGAAATGATTTAAAACTATTGGACCACATAAACCGAAGCCACTAAGTAAAAGTTTGAGTAAACCAAGATACAGGAATTCACGACCGAAAGCTTCATAACTTGCTTTTAAAAATGGAACACAAGCTTTGATAGAACACCTTTCACTAGAAATATCGTGACTTTGTCTAATTGCTTCATCAATAGTTACAGATTTCAACTTTAATTTAGGGACTTTCGACTCCAAAGTGTATGTATTCAGACGTTTAGGGATCAAAGGTAGATTTGTGAGTGAATACAATTCTCCGTAATAACCACTACGCACTAGATTATTAACCCAACAAAAACATAACTTTGAAAAACATGAAGCCGAATCTTCACAGTCATTAACATTTTGTGAAGTGGGTCTCTGTGTAATTTCATTTGACTGATAATTTGTAGGCAACTGGATGCTATTGGAATTTTGTCTTAAGATCCTAGCCCTTCTGCGCCTAGGCTCTTCCGAGGGGTAGAACACTGGGACCTTGGAAAGCAAATGCAGACATAACAGGAGTAATTGAATATAGCAATTAACAATAACATATGGCCTCCATAGCGCATCCACTTGTCTCCTAAAAGACCAGCAGTTGATGGCTGAGCAAAAGAAGTATATTATTGAAAAGGAAAGATGAATCCAGGAACCCCTTGAAGAATATTTTAGGGCTTTACCATGGAGATAATCAAGGATTAGTGTTGTAATCCAGAATATTACTGTCATGAAATTGTGTATTGCAATAAAACGAGAGTTAATGGAAAACCCCTCCTCGTAGTATGGAAGCAAAAGCCCGAGAACAATAATCAAACCACTGCTGGTAACGATTGTTATATCTATGGCCACTCGAAAATAGAAGACTGAACAATAAAAACTGTCAAATGCTAAGTGCATCCACAGGACAACGCAATAAATAAATGAGATGATTGTACACAATATAATTAAAGGGATATAAATATATACTTCAAACCAGCAAACACCAACAACTCCATCATGCCATGGACTAGGATCTAAGCTTCCACATACGAATTCCACAAAAGGGACCTGCATCGCACAGGTTCGATTTTGTGATTAGTTCAGTGGCCTTGAGATTGAATTGGTCACTTAAAAAAACAAGTCTGAGGAGCACATTATTGTGCCAGGAAAATGATCTCCGGTTTGTTGTTTTTTCCAGTATTATGGATAACCCTATCTGATCAACTGGTTAAACTAGTACTGAGCGTCCAGTAGTTGTGCATGCCAGTGATGTTTTCGAATGGATTATGAAACCCAGACATCTGACAACCTAGAACAAAGTCAGAGATGTTATCAACCTATTGAAGAAAGTTTATCATTAAAAGTATGTCATATGACGGTGATAGATAAGTTGGACTCATCGCGCCGTGCGTGGAAGCAGTCTAACATTGAAAAGCAGGAAATACGCTGCCAGTATTTAGTGTGTAGTGACCTACTTTTGTCAACAGAACGCGATTGGTTCGATGAAAACAATTATTATTATAACCAATTGTACCAGTGACTGTTTTACTGTGCTCGTTTGTTTAACTGTGCTAATAACAGCCATTTTAGTCTTCCATTGTATTCCACTGCTTCTACGCGGTTTTCGAGTACGCACGTATCTTTTCTTGCCGATCGCACCTGTACTCCTTTGGCACGATCTCGGTATTCTTTCGATACCACGAGATCGCCAACAAATACATCTCGACTACAGCCATCATCTGTCTTCTGATGTTGACCTACGGGGATCTTATTGGTTAATTGGCACGTAGGCTTGTAGCGGTGTTCATAGTCAAGCTCAACTCGACACCACGCTACAAGTGAATGTTTGTTGTTTTGATCATAAAACAAGGTCGGTGGGCCATATTCAGAGAGTGAAAAGAAAAATAAAAGTTATTATGCTCATTTTTTATAGATCAAAGATAACCGTCCGTAGAGCCATGTTTGGTTTCTTTTTAAGCATTATAACTATTTAGGTGTACAAACCCAAAACCAGAACTATAGGTCAGTAAGACTTGCCTAACAGAGGACAAACGATATTGTTTTGAGACTGGAGACAACAGTCATTTACGTATAAGAACATACCTTACGGCTCAATAAACCTTTCTTCAGTAACATTATCCACTGAAGGTCTACTTAAAAAAGACTTGTGATATCATTTCAACATTAAGTGCATGTCGGCGTAATTCAGTCAGACGTGGCAAATAAAGATTACAGGCATAGTAAAATTCAAAGTTTAATCCAACTTTTAATAAAAATTACATCATAGTATGACAAATTAGATGACTACATTAACGTTAATATAATCATTATTCTGGATTGAGATACATTAGGTTGACGTCACAACGTTGAATATCAATCCATCGTTGGTGTACTTTTGTTACAACTGACTGTAAACTCTAAAACTTATCTGATGACCCACGGTTAGAAAAAATCATCAACCAATAGGGTAGGATTATTGAATTTCCTATTCTATATAGGCAATGCGTTACAAATTTAACTGTATTGAACAGTGGGACGTCTGGCGTTTCAAATAACATAACCCCACTGTCTACTTGCTCCTCCCGTTGTGTAATAAACATTAAAGCCAAACTGTTGAGAGCTTTATGGATTTCATTATCCAACAAAGGTATTAGGAGTTAGTACTGACATTCGTCTATTTCAAAAGTAGTCCATATATATGTGGATCTTTACATTCAATACCTATGCTTTGTTATTCACAATCTTTTACTGCATCGTATTGCTATCTCTCTACTATGTTGAACAGTCAGTTAGGATAAAATCTCTGGATAGTACTAATTTGACTGTTATTTTCTGTCTACATAGAAAGAGTTGAACATTTGATACGTAATGTATTAATTTTTTAGTATAGTCTCAAAAACAATTAGTTTGAGCATTTTGGGTTCCATATAAATGTATTTCTACTGTCCATTCTACTGGACGTGAAATAAAAATCATCCATTATTTACCTTTTCTCAATTCTGATTCTCTTGTCGTTACACTGCCGTTTTAACGTTTATTTTTTACAATTCTTTCTATAGTAATGGATGAGCTTACTGTCCAGTCTGTTTTCAGATTTATTCAGTTCAGAGTGCATCGAGGAATTTACAAATATCTCACACTTCTATGAACTTTCGTTTACTCGTTGCTTAATGATTGCAAAACTTTTCAATGAAATCAAAATAAATTCTCAACATATATATAAGTAGTAAGTGGCAAAATAAATGCTTCTTATTTTCATGGGTCACAATAGGATTTGTATAGGTGGTTACCGAAATTTGACTTGATGACTTTGAAACGGCTAGTTTCATTGATAAATCTAGATAGTGTTATGTCAAAATGAAGGTTTAAATATATTGACTATTCGTTATAACTTGTGACTTGAGTGACCTGTTAATGGATAAGTAATGATACCGCCAATTAGAGAGCAGCGACTTATCGATCGGATCAACGACACGTAAAACTCTTACGAGCAGCCTAGAGTTCTGATTGGTCCTGCTTTCCGCTTAACCCAGCCAGTTAAGTCCAGAACACCAGTCTCATCCTCTTCAATATGAATCATTTATTTCAAGCATACAGGGTTTATATACCAACCAGACAGATCACATCACACCATAAAATAGAAAATAACATTTGTACAAGATTTGGCCAAATGCAGCTGTGAATGAGGGAGGTAGTGATTAATAGACAGGGAATAATTCAGGAATCGAGAGTCGTATAATAACAGTTCATAGGTTAAAATAAAGCTCATGATAAGAGAGACATGAATATGAATAGTTTAGTTAATTAACAATTATACGACAAAAATATACGTATATTATTGGTCCATAAATGTATCCTAAAGTTACTACTTATTATGCTTATCGGGACCTATTACGTTTACTATTTACGATAATACAATAGTAATGTTAGTTATAGTAACCCAATGAATAGAAAATTTAGTTTCTGATGACTCATGACTTAATGTAAGTTACTTCTTTAAAGAATGAGTGATATTCTTCAAACTAACCTGGAATATTATTAGCAAGACATTATTATTATATCATTAAAATGACAATATTTACTCGAATTTTATAAGGACCAAATTATAAAAATATTAAATTGGCTAAAAGATTCGATCCAACCACGTTGTCATTCCTCTCAGAAACGTATGCTTAAAATCATTCGCGATTCTGCAACGTTTCTGTCACACATAAATTACATTGGCAAAGCATTGTTTCGAATTGTACTAAGAGAGTTAAAATTATCTGTAGACTATATAATGATGTATGAAGGAACTTCTGACGATTAAATTTAAAAGATACTTCGAATAAGAAAAACCTAAAGAAATGTATTATAATTTACATATAAATAGTTCGGTTACTGATTACCAGAATAATAAACGTTTTAATAATGAATGTAGTGGTTAATATAACTGTAAAAGATATTGCTGTTAATAAGGAAACTGTATTCAGATTTTAAAGAGTCCATAAAATATTTTATTCCTTAAAGTGTTTAGTAAAAACTCTTAGTTACGAAGTTGATGGATTTTACTTTATTTTTTCTTAGTAACAAACACCTAAATGGAATAGAGTCAATGCGAGCTTAATGAATTTAACAGTAAAAGATTAAAAAATCTCAGATTATGACAGTCAGACATTGGCTAACTGTAGATCTAAATTTTGTACTGATCGGCTTGCATTGACATGATGGCCCTTAAACTTTATAGGTTTGAATCCACCTCCTTAAGTATCATAGTCATAAACGTTACCACTAAGCTGACTTGTTTATATTATTCAGTTTTACTTCTAGCTCTATAGTTTTAGTCAAAGTACATTGAGATTCCGAATCGCACTGAAATGTGACTTTATTTCAAATGAATTTAATAGGATTCAGCCAAATCTGAGGTCTGGAAAACATATCCTTGATACCTACTCAGTAACAGATTAGTCTGACAGTCATATGAAACATAATACTTGGTACATCGGTTCAAGTTAACATAACACATTTGAGCAGTGAGATAAAATTATACAGGTTAGTTTAAAGTTAACACTAAATGAAAACCAATACAATCAATTTAGAGAAATATATGAGAACCTAAAATTACAAAATTTAAGTTTTTAATAAAAATAATTTTTCTGCACTATTTTGGAATCATTTTCGTGCTTGTAATCATGTTAGATATGTCCAAGAAATCAATATCAACCTTAATGATCAGTTACAAGATTATTGTAGAAAAAAAGGTAGAAAACTAATTAAATATCCAAAATCTTCATTTCATTTAACTCTAATGACGTTCTTATGCTACTTGACGTCATTTAATCATGCGTTTAATCAATTCTAATCACATTTACATCAACACTGGTCTTCATCATTAATTATTTCATTTTTCTTTTTTTTCTCTCTTTCTCTTTTCATCTTAGAACTTTCTTTCACTAAGTTAAATGTTAACTGCTACATATTGAAAAAAATTCTAAATTTTGTACTGAACTATACAATGTTTATTTCTTACTACTTTGATATCTATCTGTTTATGTTCTTGATTATCATACACTTTTAGAAATTTTCAGCTTGTCTATTTGCCTGTATACATCAATAAATGTATTAATTCAGTGGATGTAATCTTATATATTATTATTCCTAGATAAAATCATATCATTTCATGTTATCAGTTGATTAACATTTAATTATCAGAAGGGGTTTTGTGGAGATTTTAGTAATTTCAATAGTTGAAATCATAGATGAAATCGTGGATGCACACTGCTGAGGAGTCCCTTCACTAGGACGAAACGGCTGTCTAGTGCTTTTAGGTTTTCCATGGTGGTTTAGCTTCAATTGACTCATGATTTTAACATTTAATTGTTGTTTTATAATAACAATTCATTGGTTTTGGTTACAATAAGTAAGTAAGTAAGAAAATTCTTATTAATTTTCTTGTTATAAACGGAATTTAAGTTTTAGTATTAGGAGAAGGACATGGAATACAAAACGCTTTAATCATAAGATAATTTAATCACAAGTTGACTTCAGTTAGTGAATCACTGAAAGTCAAAAAGGATTAGACAGATATTTTAGATTGGCTCATCATTACTTAGGATTA